GACAGACAGACAGACAGACAGACAAAAATTTTACTGATTGCATTTTTGGCATCAGTATCAATCACTAACCACCCCCTGATAGTTATTTTGAAAATATATTTCATGTACAGAATTGACCTCTCTACAGATTTATTATATAAGTATAGATTAAGTAGGTCAACCTTATCTACTTATTCCATATTTTTTGCAACTTATAAGTAAGTAAGTAAGGCCCCGATGGACATGAACTCGCGCGCCTACTGTAGAAGCTGCCATATAAATATAAATCTTTGGACAATTTCACACAGCGCCAGCTAGCCCCAAAGTAAGCAACTTAATGCTTGTGTTATGGGTGCTAGCTTAACGGATATATTACTTATATACTTTTTTTTTAAATACATAAATATTATACATAGTCACACCCAGACCCGTCACAGAAATTAAAATTCATCATTTCAATTTCTGCCCAGCCGGGAATCGAACCCGGGACCTCTCGGCATAGTAGTCCGTTCTGAACCACTACACCAAACGGCCGACCGAATATCTATCATTGTTCCAGGTGTGTTCGTGCAACTGCCTCGGCAACAAGCAGTGCGAGGGCGGCGCTCTGCTGGCGGCGCCTCGCGCGTCGCGACATGCCTCACGCGCATCACTCTCGGTCGATCTCATCGAGCGGGCATCCGTGTAATGTTATGATTTATGATGAACAATGTGCCAATATGGTACCAAGTATCCCGAAAACTATAATCCGATAATCCGGGCCTTTTCAAGGCGAGAGTGAATAGGCACTTACAGGGCAGATATGTACCATCCTAGACTGCATCCCACTTAACATCAGGTGCGATTGTGGTGAAATACCTGCCTTGTTATGCATAAAAAAAAAGTAATACATACATGAATAAATTGATGATGATGAACAATGTGCCAATATGGTGCCAACAAATAATACATACAGGGTGTGAGGGATGGTTTGCAAAAACTTGCCGGCTATGCCAATGTTGCAGACTGATGTGCTGTTGTCTGTATCAATTTTCTTTTGATACAGACAACAGCACATCAGACTACAAGTATACATATTTGTTGCAAAAAGATGTCGCAGTGTTTGGCTTTAATTGCCGTCGTCTGTTATAAAAACTTAATGCCATAAGGAATTATCTGCCAGTTGATAACCTTAGAAGTAATGAGTAATAGACGAATAAAAGTTTATTGGCGACTTTACAAACATACTGTTTCCATGCGGCCAGATTGACAAAAATATATGGTGTTTAGTTTAGACCAGGAACATAAAATAAGGGAAAATTAAAAATTCCTGGAAGAAATTCCTGTAGAACTCGAAAAATGTGTTAACTCAAAATTTTCAGTTTTAGCGAACATGTCCCTTACACCAATTAAAATATGCAACAATAGTTTTTTAAGCTTGTGTAAAATCGGTGTGACAATTTGCGCTCGAGCACAAACCTTTAATTTCACATGCCACAAATAAGATAACAAATGTGATTATTAGCCAAATACATAGTAAATAAAGTACTTAAATTTAAGATTATGTAGTGCCAATTTGATGTGTAGCTTAGCTATTCATACAAGTTTTTTTGTACCTAGTACTTAATGTCTGACGGGAAAAGAAAATTAAATATTTAATGACGCGTTATTTTTTGGATTTGATCGTAAGATGTGTAATTAGGAAAGAGATAAAAAAATTAAGGAAAAATTTCAAGTTTATTAGTTAAGTCTGCATAAAGTCACAGAATGAAATATAGCTTGAAAATTGTACGTGTTCGATTGTGTTTTTAAAATGAGCTGGGGAAAGCAAATTATGAATCTAGACTTTAAATAACAATAAATTAATATTTATTAAATACAAAATGACTGCAAGTTAAATGTACACAAATTCTCACAAATGAATAAATGTAAGTTATTTATCTACACGGTTCACACGTTAGTTTGTAAATTGTAGCAGTGTGCCAAAGTTTTATACAATTTTTAAACAAAATAAATATAACACATCGAGTTTTTGTACATAAAATTTTGGTCGCCATTATAATCCTTCGCACATGGTTTTAAAAATATCCCCCTATTTTCGTTTATTTATAAATGTTATTTAATTGTATAGTTTTTTTTATGATCTGTGATAAAATTATTTCATCTCATTTATTAAAGTAGGTAAGCTCAAATGTTGAATTGTTTTTGTATTTATTAGTTTGTTAATGTTATACGTGTATCGGTGTTAATTAAGCTAAGTAATGTATTAATTATTATAATGTGGTATTGTGCCAAGTTCAATATTATACACGGAAATAAATGTTGATAAACAAAAGCGATCGTTTTTATTTTATTAATTTTTAAAACTTGTCACTCTAAAACCGTATCTTGTAGTCTCCAATATTACAAAGTTAGAGGATAACTAATTAAGGTAAATGCACTAATAAAATTTTATCGCTTTTAAATGGTTCATTTAATGAGTTTAAATATGTTACCTATTTAGCTTTATCTAGGCCCATGGCATTGACCTATAAACAATTTTGTAGTTTCCCTTACCACCCTATATAAAAGTGTCTCTTCTGTGGCAGAGCCACTTAGCAAAATGTATGTTAGTAGGACAGTTTGTTTCTTGGTAATTTTGATAATTAGAAACAGTGTCGGGTTTTATTTTTCATCGTCTTCTGAAACGGGACTGAATGCAGTGAATAAGGCGTCACGATGTAAGTACTCACAACATTGACAACTAACAACAGTTGTCAAGTAGGTAAAATTTTATTTTAGTTGGAAAAAGACAAAAAGTGGTAAATGGGTTAACGTGCGGGGGCTGCAAAATCATGTTGTGACGTCACGCGCGAATATTGGAAATTTTTGAAAATTTTAAAAAGTCCGTAAACTTCTCGAGGCTCTATCTTCGGTAATACTGGATGGATTGAGCTGAAATAAAAACTAGTGTAATGTGTGTGATCTAAACTTTAAATCAAGTCATAATTTAACTTAATATTACAACTTATGCGTGTTGTCCATTATGTCTGTGAATAAATAAAATCTTTGTATTTACCGGGAACCGAGTCTAGAACCTGCGAAATTTTTTCGCCAAAACGCGCTGTTAAACGAAAAATTAAATACGAGTACTTTCCCCTCCTGTGATGTCTCGCTTTATTTCGGACTTTCTTTTATATATTTTTTATAACTTTTGTATTATTCGGCATGTGACGATGCACAGCATCNTTATTTTAAAGGTGATACTTTTTATTGTTGAAATCTATTAAGTGGCGATCGTGGACCGAAACGTAACCTCAATTGACATTTATCATTGTTGACAGAGCATCAAATTGACAAATCAACAACTCTTGGAAATGCTACTATGTCGTTGCCAAAATTAAAGAAGAAGAAGAATGCTACTATGCGATGTCTCCATATTCCTCAGAAATAAGCATGTTTATGTAAAGCGATTTCATAGCGCTATTTTGGTTGTTACTTCGTGCACTATAGGTACGATGCACAGTTGGCTGTTCGATGTGGAAGATATCACCTAGTACACGTTCATAACTTCCCGTTGCGTAGAACAGTAGGGTTATAATAAGTATTTGGTCCACTGGTTGTATGGCGTTTGGTGAGGGGTTTCAAAGAGCTTCCAAATTATGAATCCAGAAACAACACCGTTTCATAGGAGACGCGGAACCTCGCTCGGANCCCCATTATCTGCCAGTTAATAACCTTAGGAGTAATGATTAATAGATGCAATAAAAGTTTATTGGCGACTTTACAAACATACTGTTGCCATCCGGCCAGATTGACGAAATGAATGTTGTTTAGTTTACCACTCGGGTTTACCAAGAACATCACAAAAGAAAAAAAATCCCAGGAGAATATACTGTAGAACTCGAAAACGTGATAACTCCAAATTGAAAGTTTTAGTTAGCGAACCTGTCCCTTACACCAATTAAGTAAAACAAAATAATTATGCAACAATAGTTTTTACGCCTGTATAAAATCGGTGTGACAATTTGCGCTCGAGCACAAATATTTAATTTCACATGCCACAAATAAGATAACAAATGTGATTAGTAGCCAAATACATAGTAAATAAAGTACTTAATTTAAGATTATGTAGTGCCAATTTGATGTGTAGCTTAGCTATTCATACAAGTTTTTTTGTACCTAGCTAGTACCTTTAGTACTTATAGTGTCTGACGGGAAAAGAAAATTAAATAATATATTTAATGACGCGTTATTTTTTGGATTTGATCGTAAGATGTGTAATTAGGAAAGAGATAAAAAAATTAAGGATAAATTTCAAGTTAATTAGTTAAGTCTGCATAAAGTCACAGAATGAAATATAGCTTGAAAATTTTACGTGTTCGATTGTGTTTTTAAAATGAGCTGGGGAAAGCAAATTATGAATCTAGACTTTAAATAACAATAAATTAATATTTATTAAATACAAAATGACTGCAAGTTAAATGTACACAAATTCTCACAAATGAATAAATGTAAGTTATTTATCTACACGGTTCACACGTTAGTTTGTAATTTGTAGCAGTGTGCCAAAGTTTTATACAATTTTTAAACAAAATAAATATAACACATCGAGTTTTTGTACACAAAATTTTGGTCGCCATTATAATCCTTCGCACATGGTTTTAAAAATATCCCCCTATTTTCGTTTATTTATAAATGTTATTTAATTGTGTAGTTTTTTTTATGATCTGTGATATTATTTCATCCCATTTATTAAAGTAGTTAGGTAAGCTCAAATATTGAATTGTTTTTGAATTTATTAGTTTGTTAATGTTATACGTGTATCGGTGTTAATTAAGCTAAGTAATTTATTAATTATTATAATGTGGTATTGTGCCAAGTTCAATATTATACACGGAAATAAATGTTGATAAACAAAACCGATCGTTTGTATTTTATTAATTTTTAAAACTTGTCACTCTAAAACCGTATCTTGTAGTCTCCAATATTTCAAAGTTAGAAGATAACTAATTAAGGTAAAAGCACTAATAAAATTTTATCGCTTTTAAATGGTTCATTTAATGAGTTTAAAGATGTTACCTATTTAGCTTTATCTAGGCCCATGGCATTGACCTATAAACAATTTTGTAGTTTCCCTTACCACCCTATATAAAAGTGTCTCTTCAGTGGCAGAGCCACTTAGCAAAATGTATGTTAGTAGGACAGTTTGTTTCTTGGTAATTTTGATAATTAGAAACAGTGTCGGGTTTTATTTTTCATCGTCTTCAGAAACGGGACTCAATGCGGTGAATAAGGCGCCACGGTGTAAGTACCCACAACATCTACATTACATAAAGAGAGATAGGTAGGTATAGCTATTTTACGTTCGTACCTATATTATTTTATAAATAATAATTGTTTGCACTGTCGCCCCACTACTTACGCCAAAAATGGTTTTTTCCCTTAGAAAATCGCGCGTTGTTGAACCAAAAATTAACTCGTAAATAATAGAATAGGCACATACTTTCCCCCATGATATTTAATTTTATTCCAGACTTTCAGATTCTTCTTTCAAAAAGGATTTTTTAAGCTTTTTGCCTTTTACATTTATTAATTCCCAGGGAACGTGCCTTGGCTCGGCATCGGGATGTGGTGCAACGGCTGCCCGCCTAAGAGCTGTGAAGATGACGAGGCCATCATCCACGGGTACTGCTGCGGCTGCGCCTACGCATCAGGTAAAATAAACCTAGTCTGTTAACTGTAGGAACTAAATATTAGTAGTATGATGAAGTCATTTTAAAACGTACTTTAACTTTAGTTAGTCAAAGAAAAATACCTATTTACACTACTTAGCTACCTACTTTACGTGGCTGCCTTCAGTAGGCTATCCGACATGATAAGCGAGCAATCCGCGTGGCTCGAGCAGCAGTGTAAACGTATTGCAGTATTACGAGCCACCCTACAGTTAATGTCGCACGGAAAATATTTGTTAAAAAATTCCACTTTCGTTTGTAATTTTTTTTTGGTAGATCACCTAGCTAGATAAATATGGCGAGGATTGAAATTAACACCTTGTATACAACGGCGCTGATGGATTCGCATCTATAATATATTTGTATGGATGTTTAATTACAGATCGTCTACCAGTGATGTGTCCCCAGTTCCTGCAGTGCCCCCTGAACCTTCACGGGCTCTGCCACGACTACGAGTACATGATGAGGTGCTGCTGTTAATAACCAAGGACAAACTAGCTGCTAGTTTTATAATGTAGAATAGTAGCCAGTTTTACAGTATTGATTACTAGTATTTTCAACGGGTATTGCAACCTATGAAATCAAAAATCATAACAGATAGACAAAATAGTGACATTGGCCATAACAATTATCCCGTAAAAAATCTACCCAGTGCCTAACGAAGAATGTAACAATTAATTTAATTTTGTCCAGTACATATGTTATTATAAGTTAGCTCTGATACCTACCCAAGATGTGTTTATGGAAAAGATTTAATTAAAAGTGAGTCAAGACTCAAGACTGATATTATAATTTATTTTATGGAAAATAGAGAGGACTAGGTCACGGAAATAAAACACTTTTTATATAGCATACTGTTTTAATTTCTAAGAAACCCTCAATACAGAAATACAGTGGGTTAGCGGATTTGATTTAAGTAAACTTAACTCAGACATAATAGTATAAAAATAACGACATTGCGAGTAAGTTACAAAGATCGACAGGTAATAAAATAATTAATACGATTTAATATTCTAAACACAATTAATTAAATACTTCAGCATATTTACTAATCCTTTCTCAGAACACAGGACGCACAATACGAAACAGATACAAATATACAACCGCGCTTAGAACATTAAATCGCTGTTAAATTTTAAATTATCACAATACTTCTGTGATATTGATATATGTATATGTCTTTTAATTAATACTATGTTCCCGCTTTACTTTAATCGATGACTACATAAGTTTACTATATAATATCTGTCTAAATTATCTAAGGCCAATTTGCTATATCTACAATTTTGTGTTAAAAGTTACGACAGAGTAGTCTTAAATTTTAAAAGTTCTAACACAAAATTTTCAACATAGCACTCCCCAGAACGCTTCACGATATTATTCAATAATATAAACACCCAGTGCATACGAAGTATTAAATTAGTATTTCACGTGATAAAATTATAGAGTAACACAAGCTGGAATAAAACAATAATATTAAGCCTACGAATGGACAGCTGAGAAGGTCGAAAGTTACGTAAGGGCTGCACACTACGCTACTGTGTGGAAGAACCCTACTGGCAATATACACAAATTACATTACTTTTACAATTGAGTCATACAAAAAATTGGAGTTTTTAATTTCTCATATCACTGCGGACCGAGCTAGAATGAATGGGCGTCTATTACGTTAAGCGTAAGGTGTTATTTAGAGTAAAGTGCCATGCAATTACCTTCCATCGCACTTCACTCCCAGCCGTAGCGTAGTGCGAGCGAAACGGAGTCTATGTTACAAGTCTGTCTAAATTACTCTATACGATACAAAAACACTTGTGATTTTCCTCTCATACAACTACGCTGATGTTGCCTGCATCGATATCCGAACAGCACGAAATAATTAACCTACGATATTTAATATAAACATGTATAAACATACACCCATCCATTTCACCTTGCTTTAACAATATTTATTGGACATAGCAACTTAATAAGAGTTAGCTTAATTAGACGTAGTCGCGTCGAGGGCTCGGGTGGCGCTCGATCTAATTACTTTAATATGATGCGATCATGAAACATTTGTGGTAATTGCATTTTATATATCGGGTGCGGCGGTCGGCCAGNCCGGCGCCAGCTCACGCCGCCTCTGCGTGAAGCCGCCCGCCTGTGGACAACAAATACAGGGTTGATTATTGGGATTTTTGTATTGATGATAATGCTAAATAATTTGATTATGGTAATTTTTGGCTTGCGGGCAATCCTGGCAATATTGGTTTATATCTGAGACCATGCGGGGAGATTTATCGGTGACGATGGGGGCGGCCCTGGTTGATTTCGACAGAGAGAGAAGAAGCCTTCTACCCAGTGGACTATACATCATATTCTTACAGCATCCACGGAAAGAGTGGGAAATAGTCCTACTTTACACTATTAAAGTAGACGGCCAATCGTCCTTTGATCTTTGATAAATTAAAGAAGGTCATGTTTCTGCAAATGAAATGACCTGATGTTGAAAAGTTGAAATACTGACTTTGGCGACGTGAGTTTAGCAGCAAGAAGACTTGCCGGTGTCGATGGGGCAGCCTTGGTCGATCTTGACGGAGGCACTATCTCTGGTCAATGTAATCTAAACCATATTTCTAGAGCATCAGGGGTCACATTACCTTGGCGACGTGTTCAGCAGCAAGAAGACTTGCCGGTGTCGATGGGGCGGCCCTGGTCGATCTTGACGGAGGCGCCCAACATAATTTAAACCATATTCCCAGAGTATTAGAGGACGTATTACCTTGGCGACGTGTTCAGCAGCAAGAAGACTTGCCGGCGTCGATGAGGCGGCCCTGGTCGACTCTGCTCAATGAAATGTATTGACTATTCCTAGAGTATTAGATGCTTTATTACCTTGGCGACGTGTTTAGCAGCAAGAAGACTTGCCGGCGTCGATGAGGCGGCCCTGGTCGACTTTGCTCAATGAAATGTATTCCCTATCCAGAGTATAAGAGGATGTATTACCTTGGCGACGTGTTNAATACGCGTGCGTGAGTCAATGTTCGCTCGTATGTGAGGCCTTGTCGAATAGTATCCTGTAGGTGGGCCATCATGCGTGTTTCGTTTTCGATGTAAACTCGCGGAGATGAACAGGCCTGGTATTAGATGCTTTATTACCTTGGCGACGTGTTCAGCAGCAAGACGACTTGCCGGTGTCGATGGGGCGGCCCTGGTCGATCTTGACGGAGGCGCCCTGCGGCGCGGAGCCCCCGGTGGGCGGGCCCACGCGCGCTTTGATCTCGGCCGCCATGGTCATGAAGGCTTGCTCCACGTTGGTGGAGTTCTTGGCTGACGTCTCCAGGAACGGGATGCCTAGCTGCTCCGCGTATTGCTGTGGGGTAAAAGTTTGTGAATGAGAATTTGGTATACGTTAGATTAGTAATCTATGAAGCCTCGATAGCCGAATGGTGAAGGTTTCGGACTGGCAGATTCGTGATCCGAGGAACGCGAGTTCGGTCCCCACTGCCGCTCGACTATTGTGGTGAGCTCACTCGTGATACAAGCATATTTAATTTAGTGCGAGGGGCTAACAGGACTATTAGTAATAACAAATAAAAAATTACTAATAATCTTTAAAAACAATCTACGATTACAGTCTAGCCTAGGCTAAACCACTACTTGTAGTATCTTACGCGTTAAAGCTTGTCCAAATGATGCGTTTTTATTCGCGCGTTCGTTAAGTACTAATGGGGGGCGCGGGTAAAAACGCGTCATCTGGACACGGCTTTGCTAAGTTCACAATTTAACGGTGACGTACGTAATGATACAGCTTAAACAATCGTGAATGGTTTTTATAACAGTGAACAGTCAAACCTGATCTGTATGTCACTATCACTAGCTGCAGCGTCACTCTGATGCGACATTCACCATTGAAAATGTAATAAAATTAATATTTTGACACTGTGGGGTGTGCTATGATTCAACGTCCAATTATTTCATACATATTAAATATAGAAAACTCCCAGAGCACAAACATGTTTTCAATTCTGAGGAGATTGAACTCGCAAACTATCGCAGTATGTGTATGTAAACATAATTAAAAATTGCGCCATTATTTCTTTGGATTCATTACAAAATAATAATTATTATTTTTTGGCAGCACCACCAAACCAAACGCTAGACAGTAAAACAGCTCGTTCATGAACTAGTTCTCACTATTTGTACAGCGTATCGTACAATGCCGTCAGTCAGTACGCGGCTTATCAGCAGTTTGATTTGTTTGATGGGACATTTATGTTGAGGAAATTCTATTTTGAATAATCATCCTATTAATAAGCGATGTATATGATATAAATGATGACGTATATTGAACAAGGATAAATAACTGATTCTGTTTATATGTAACAAGGATAAGCTATCCCGGATTGGGATGATTTGGGTGTTTTAATACATATTAATATTTATTTACTTCCCAGTCGCATTGGGTTAATTCTGTCCCAACAGAGAAATTATGTAATTAAATATCTCTACCACTATGCTAAGGGATAATTCTGTCTTGACAGTAAAATTTTGAAAGTAAATAATGTATTAGAAAGGAAGCTAGTCTAATCTATACTTGGAATAGGCGCTGCTAATGTTTCTATCGCTTAATACAAATCACTCTTAATTAGTGTGGTTAAATACATAGGTAATTTCATTACTATGAAGTGAATGTATAAAGGATAGTTTATATCCCGGTGTTTAGACAGGGGACACTCAAAGCTATACTTTCTGCGACATACCGAAATATACACGGGCGAAGTCGCGGGCAAAATATACTTTGTAACACATCTTTAGTCCATGCATTGAATGCAAGTCAGTGTTTACGTTTATCAACTCTCAAGGTGTAGGTAATTATTTCGGGTGACTGATAAAAAGTAATCAGTGCGTGACTAACGAATGAAGTATGAACTCTCGAACACGTCATTTTGTGTATTGATCATTGATTTTAGTTGCCTTGGCCTCTACTGACTAAAATTAGCGATTGGACGAATGCCTCCCCCAATAGATACTTATTTGTTGCAAATAATTGCATTAATTTTTTATTACATTTATTTATTGTATGCTGTACATAACTTGAATAAGATATAGTTTGTTTAGTTAGGGCTCGTAAATAAGGTTGTGTAGAGTACTTGGCTCNGCTCGCTTCCACCTTCGGCGTGATCGTCACTTACCATCAGGTGAGATACAGGCCAAGAGCTTCCTCGTTGTGGATAAAAAAAAATACATGCGTTAGAGCTTGTCTAAAAAATCCAGATGATACGTGTTGAATCGCGCGATCGTTTAGATACTAGAGGGGGGCGTGGGTAAAAACGCGTAGTCTGGACACGGCCTTGTAAGCTAACGGAGTTCACAGTTTTACGGTGACGTAAATACATAATGATAGAGCTTTTGAGGCCCTGTTCTGCATGTCATTAGCTACAGCGCAGTCCTAATACGATACTCACCATTAAAATGCATAAAATGAATATTTTGACACTGCAGTTCAACATCATCTCAAAAACATAAAATGTTTTAAAAATAAATCTTAAATATAGAAAGCTCCCAGACCAAACATGTTTTCAATTCTGAGGAGATTGAACTCGCAAACTATCGCAGTATGTGTATGTAAACATAATTAAAAATTGCGCCATTATTTCTTTGGGTTCATTACAAAATAATAATAATAATTTTTTGGCATCACCACCAAACCAAACGCTAGACAGTAAAACAGCTCGTTCATGAACTAGTTCTCACTATTTGTACAGTGTATCGTACAATGCCGTCAGTCAGTACGCGGCTTATCAGCTTGATTTGTTTGATGGGACATTTATGTTGAGGAAATACTATTTTTGAATAATCAATCATCCTATTAATAAGCGATGTATATGATATAAATGATGACGTATATGTATATGGAACAAGGATAAATATATTTACTATGTAACAATGTAAGCAATGTAAAAAATGTTAAAGTTGTTAAATAAACTTTTATTTATTATTATTATTTATTATATGCTATCCCTGATTGTCGTTTAATTTATAATCCAAAAGCTTAATTTGGGTGTTTTAATACATATTAATTGCTTCCCTGTCGCATTGGGTTAATTCTGTCCCAACAGAGAAATTTTTCAACTAAATATCTCTACTACTATGCTAAGGGATAATTCTGTCTTGACAGTGAAATTTTGTAAGTAAATAATGTATTAGAAAGGAAGCTAGTCTAATCTATACTTAGAATAGGTGCCGCTAATGTTTCTATCACTTAATACAAATCACTCTTAATTGTGTGGTAAAATACATAGGTAATTTCATTACTATGAAGTGAATGTATAAAGGATAGTTTATATCCCGGTGTTTAGACAGGGGACACTCAAAGCTATTACTTTCTGTGACATACCGAAATATACACGGGCGAAGTCGCGGGCAAAATATACTTTGTAACACGTCTTTAGTAAATGCATTGAATGCAAGTCAGTGTTTACGTTTATCAACTCTCAAGGTGTAGGTAACTATTTCGGTTGACTGATAAAAAGTAATCTGTGCGTGACTAACGAATGAAGTATGAACTCTCGAACACGTCATTTTGTGTATTGATCATTGAATTTCGCTGCCTTGGCCTCTACTGACTAAAATTAGCGATTGGACGAGTGCCTCCCCCAATAGATACTTATTTGTTGCAAATAATTCCATTTTTATTATTTATCTTATTGTACCTATATACAGGGTGGCCAAAACAGTGAGGTCTAAAAGAAAAATTTAGACTCCTTACCTCAAGGTGTACCTAAATCACCCCCATGTATATTATACGATTGTGCTTAGTTTAGGAGATAGAGTTAATTTTGTGATATTTTAAAATTTTATGACCTAGTAGGCTTTAAACATTTTTATCTTTTTTTTGGGTTGACTTTTTTCAGATTTCTTTTTTTCGACAGATTTCTTATGAATTGCAGATGTTTGAAAAAAATAATCACCTTCCTATCTTTGATTCAAGATACAAAAGTTTTGCTAGAAACATTAAAATCATGCTTTTATCAAAACGCTATCAAATTTTCAACTTAAAAGTTTAAGTAAAAAAAAGAACTTTCATAGGTCCAAAACCATTTTAAAAACTGCGCCGTTTCCTGAACTTTCATAATAATACAAAAAATCATGTACTTAATAGGCCACTATTTCCTGTAATCGGTACACTAAAGTGGTAAGTCGGAGATTTCGTTACATGTTTTTGACTTTCTTAGAGTGAATTAATATTGGGAATCCTCTAAGTTTACATTACGTAGAACAGATTTAAAGCAGTAACTGGACAGAACATGTTTTTATTCTCAACGAGGAAGCTCTTGCCCTTCATCACACCTGGTGGAAACTGATGATTAGGCTGAAGGTGGAAGGGAACTTCAACTACAGAGGAACTATGGCTTCCTACCTCCAAATGCCGGAATACAGTAATGCTTTTAACATTATTGTTATAGTGACAGACTTAGGAAAATAGAGTTGCTAGCCAGGCAGACTTAGATCAAACCCTACCACCAACCAAACCGAGCAGAAAATTTCACCTCCACTGGGAATCAAACCCGGGACCTCTGAAGCTTACCTCTTACCACTTGAAGACAGAGGCAGTTGTTACATTTTACTATTACCCTTGAAATACCTACTACAGTGAGAAGAAGAAGGAGGGATATTTGGTTTATGGTCATCAAAACTTACTTAAAATAACAATGTGTTCCGGAATTTGGAGGTAGGAAGCCATAGTTCCTTTGTAGTTGAAGTTCCCTTCCACCTTCAGCATAATCATCAGTTTCCACCAGGTGTGATGAAGGGCAAGAGCTTCCTCGTTTAGAATAAAAACATGTTCTGTCCAGTTACTGCTCTAAATCTGTTCTACGTAATGTAAACTTAGAGGATTCCCAATATTAATTCACTCTAAGAAAGTCAAAAACATGTAACGGAATCTCCGACTTACCACTTTAGTGGACCGATTACAGGAAATAGTGGCCTATTAAGTAGATCTTTTTTTGTATTATTATGAATGTTCAGGAAACGGCGCAGTTTTTAAAATGGTTTTGGACCTATGGAAGTTCTTTTTTTTACTTAAACTTTTAAGTTGAAAATAGTGTTCTGATAAAAGCATAATTTTAATGTTTCTAGCAAAACTTTTGTACCTTGAATCAAAGATAGAAAGGTGATTATTTTTTTCAAACATCTGCAATTCATAAGAAATCTGTCGAAAAAAAGAAATCTGAAAAAAGTCAACCCAAAAAAAAGATAAAAATGTTTAAAGCCTACTAGGTCATAAAGTTAAAAAAAATCACAAAATTAACTCTATCTCCTAAACTAAGCACAATCGTATAATATACATGGGGGTGATTTAGGTACACCTTGATGTAAGGAATCTAAATTTTTCTTTTAGACCTCACTGTTTTGGCCACCCTGTATTGTATGCTGTACTGTACACATACTTGAATAAGGTAGCTTGTAGATAAGGGTGTGTAGACGAAGAAGCTTGGCTCTAGATATCTGATAATTTTTCCACAATTTATGGTCTCGTTTTTGATGGGATGCTCTTTCAACTACATTAGAAAAATATCACTAAAAATGACCCAATTAAAAAGCTAAGTGCGATTTTCGATTGCCCCGCTAAACTAAACTAAGAAAAATACCACAACGTTCAGCTTGAGATACCCTCAGCTGTATACATTGTTCCATCCATGAAGACGCGCCCCACCAAAGTTTGGTCGAGGGAAGCGCGGGGTGCGGGGAGTTTGACCCGAGCAATCCGAGCGTCATTATTGTAGTGTGCGTGTGCACTCATGGATAATTTAGCGTGTAGGTACAGATAACACTCAAACATTAGCGGAAGAATGGTGGAGCGCGTCTTCGTAGATGGAACGATCTATACTTGGATATTTTAGATATTTATAAAAGCAAAAGGTCACTTGACTGACTCACTCATCACGAAATCTCAGAAATTACAAGTGCTAGGAGTCTCAAATTTTGCTTTTAGAACGTGGGGCTCACTAAGACGGGATTTTGCAAAATTCAACCCCTAAGGAGGTAAAACGGGGGTTGGAAGTTTATATGAAAGTCCTATATCCTTACGCGTACGAATTCGCGGACGGCCGCTATCTATGCTAATATTACAAATGCGAAAGTTTGTGTGGATGTCTGGATGTTTGTTACTCTTTCACGCAAAAACTAATGAACGGATTTTGTTGAAACTTTACAGTATTATTGTTTGTAACCCAGATTAACATACAGGCTATAATTTATGCGGATCTGTGACACAAAATTTCACGCGGGTGAAGCCGCGGCCGCTAGTTATTATTATAAATAAACTCACGTTGGCTGTGGTGTAGTCGACGACCTTCTTGGTGGTGAGGTCGCACTTGTTGCCGACCAGCAGCTTGTTGACGTTGTCGCACGCGTAGCGGTCGATCTCCTCCAGCCACTGCTTCACGTTGCTGAACGAGTCCTGAAACGAAGCGAGAGACCGTTTGAGCGAATTAACGATAGATTTATTGAAGAAATATGGATGACTATACTGGCTAAATAAGGCTTAGCTTTATTAATATAAGTGTTCACCTAAGACCTTTTAAGGAAGCGAAAGACCGTTTGAGCAAACGAGCGATAGATTCATTGAAGAAATATGAATGTTTATACTGGGCAAAATTAGGGTTTCGATTTATTATCTAACCCCTTTACTAATAAAACTTACACGCTCGTTGAACAGTGTTATAAAGTGACGTTTAGTATGGAAATGTCATTTTAAAACAGTGTTCAACAACTGTGTAACTTTTTATTAGTAAGGGGGTAAGTGTTTATCTAGATCTTTCATTGCCAACTAGGATGTTTTCCTTTAAAAGGTCAATAGCAGTATTTTTTAAAGTATCAAAGTAATTTTCTAAAATAATACTTATGAATGATCAAATGCCACTGCTCTGCAGTCATAAAAAATTAAGAAATATTTTTATGATACATTTATTTCATGTTTTTTAAACAGCTACCAGAGTTTGCTACTGTTTTTGATGCAATCTAAAGTCCACAGAGCGCCATCTCTTGATAGAGCGCGTAACATTTCGCACATTCGTAATGCATGTGCATTGTGCACAGGCATATGGATTTTATCTTGAATAATCAAATACACTCAATAGATTTCCATTAAAAAAATAGGCTATTGATAAGCAAATAATAGATGGCCAGCATCCAACATTAGCTAGATTGTCAAGAATAATAATAGAAGCTGATAATGCCTAGCTAGATTTTCATTATTAAAATAATTTGCTATTAATAAACAGTAATTCCTTATAATGGTTATAACAAGTATTCAACTAATCTATAAATCTACATTCTCTGCATATAAACAAAGTAAAGACGTGATTTAAGATATCTATTTTAGTTAAAGTATAGTGATGTTTTAACATGACTTTCAAATTGCAATTAAGAATACAAGTTTTATAAATGAAAAAACCACAAATAATGGATATTAACATGAATATACATCTATTATCCATTATTTAATAATAGTGGGACTGTTATTAGAGTGATAGTATCTAAACCACAATATATTTTCCTAATTAAACAGACATTATCATGAATAAAACATTTTGTCATAAATAAATAAATAAAATTCTTGTAGTTGTAATTTTTAGCATAAATTAACTGAGATTTATTAGGTTTCAAGAATCTTTAGCACATTGATTAAACATTAATAACAATTATATTACTGTCATTCTTTTTTTGAAATTGAGTAGTAATTTTCTTTATTCTCTCACTGTGCTCAAACAAGATGGATTAACAGTGACCTACATGTGCATTGCATTGCCAATGTGTTGAAAATGATTAATAGCATGTGTTTTTGCCATTTATCTCAACGCAAGCTTTTTACTTGTGGGAAAAAAGATTTTGATACAGACAAAAATGTACCAGTGCTCTGTAATCTATCTCATAATAAAAAAAACCGGCCAAGTGCGAGTCGGGCTCGCGCACAAAGGGTTCCGTAGCAGCAAATATAATAAACTTATTATGTCAATTTAATCAACCTATCTCAAAAACTATAAGAGATACTTTGATCACACCAAAAATCGCTGAAAGANCTATCTATACTAATATTATAAATGCGAAAGTAACTCTGTCTGTCTGTCTCGCTTTCACGCCTAAACCACAGAACCGATTTTGATGACATTTAGCATAGAGATAGTTTGAGTCCCGGGAAAGGACATAGGATAGTTTTTATCCCGGTTTTTGAAACGGGGACGCGCGCGATAAAGTTTTTCTGTGACTGACAAAATTCCACGCGGGTGAAGCCGCGGGAAAAAGCTAGTTTATAAATAAACTCACGTTAGCTGTGGTGTAGTCGACGACCTTCTTGGTGGTGAGGTCGCACTTGTTGCCGACCAGCAGCTTGTTGACGTTGTCGCACGCATAGCGGTCGATCTCCTCCAGCCACTGCTTCACGTTGCTGAACGAGTCCTGAAACGAAGCGAGAGACCGTTTGAGTGAATTAACGATAGATTTATTGAAGAAATATGGATGATTATACTGGCCAAATAGGGTTTAGCTTTAGTAATCTAGGGCTGAGTTGCACACCAAACTTTGACCGTAACTATAACACTAGCCGGTGATTTTTGTATGGAGTTAGACAGATTTTTGATGTTTGTTAAAGTTAAAATAAGATGGTGCAACTCAGCCTAAGTGTTTACCTAAGATCTTTCATTGCCAACTAAGATGTTTTCCTTTAAAAAGTTAATATCAGTATTTTTTAAGTTTTCTAAAATAATACTTATGTATGACCAAAATAAATGCCACTTTGCTCTGCAGTCATAAAAATTTACAAATAATGATCAAATTACGTAAACAAAACTTAATTTACTATGCATGTTTTAAACAGCTACCTGAGTTTGCGATTGTTTTTGGCATGTAAAATTGAATATAATTTATGAGACTCAATGCAATCTAAAGTCCATAGAGCGCCATCTCTTGATAGAGCGCGTAACATTTCGCACATTCGTAATGCATGTGCACAGACATATGGATTTAATCTTGACTAATCTGATACACTCAATAGATTGCCACTAATAATTAGGCCACTGATAAGCAAATAATAGATGACCAGCATCCAACATTAGCTAGATTGTCAAGAACAATAATAGAAGCTGATAATGCCTAGCTCGCTGATAGTGTCTCTAGCTGAATTTCTATTATTAAATATAATTTGTCTTCCCTTATAATGGTTATAACAAGTATTCCACTAATCTATAAATCTATACTACATTATCTACTTATAAATAAACAAAGTACCTAAAGTGATGTTTTATTAACATGACTTTCAAATTGCAATTAAGAATACAAGTTTTATAAATGAAAAAACCACAAATAATGGATATTAACATGAATATACATACATATATCCATCTATTATCCATTAATTAATGACAGTGTGATAGTATCTAAACCACAAATATTTTCGTAATTAAACAGACATTATCATGAATAAAACATTTTAAGTTGTAGAAAAATAAATAAAATTCTTGTAGCTGTAATTTTTTGCATAATATGACTGAGATTTATTAGGTTTCAAGAATCTTTAGCACATTGATTAAATATTAATAACAATTACTGTCATTCTTGTCAAGAAAAGGAGTATTAATTTTCTTTATTCTCTAACTGTGCTCAAACAAGATGGATTAACAGTGACCTACATGTGCATTGCATTGCCAATGTGTTGAAAATGAATAATAGCATGTGTTTTTGCTACTCATCTCAACATAAGTTTTTTACTTGTGGGAAAAAGGATTCTAATACAGCCAAAAATGTACCAGTGCTCTGTAATCTATCGCATCATAAAATAGTCTAAAATAATACAAAAGTTCCCTATTTAGAACTTATTGTTCTTTAAATGTAGGAACTGTTGCATGTGTTGATACAATAACTGTGTGAAGGTTGTTAGTTCATCAACCCATGATGCATTCTAGAACATGCACAATAATGAACAATAAATAGGCTATTATGTGATATGATCATCCATTGTTTTGTAAACTTTTAGAAATAGTCAATAATTTTCATTACTGTTGCTTTATTTTGAGTTTGAGTGATAGTAGTAATTATTAGTCAATAATAAACATTTCTTTCTATATGTTAACTCTCACCTGGTCTGTGCAGTCGTAAACAATGATAATTCCATGTGCCCCTCTGTAGTATGACGAAGTGATAGTTCTAAACCGCTCCTGTCCTGCTGTGTCCCATATTTGTAATTTTATTGTCTTGCCATCTAATTCTACAGTCCTAATTTTAAAGTCTACACCAATAGTACTGATGTAACTCTCGGTGTATGTGTCGTCTGCGAATCTGAGCAGTAGACAGGATTTTCCCACTCCAGAATCACCAATCAGAAGCAGTTTAAACAAGTAGTCGCTGAAAACAATGACACATTACATTATAAAATGTTTACAAACTATAACACTCCCTAAAATGCAAATGATGCATCAATGAACGATAAAACTAATAAAGGAGGCGTAGCTAAGCAAACAAAGAAGATACAACACGACGTTATTACAAAGGATATGATATAAAAATACAGGTCCTGAAATCTTTTAAAACAGAGTAAAAGTTGTAAAGAACCGACTTCTGGAATACGGAAGTGAGTGTTGATGTGATCACTGTGCAATTTACGCCATTCATAGGACCCCTAAGATTACGTTTTACGTCTACAAATCCAAAGAAATACCACGCATACACAATGAGTCACCAGTTCATAATTAAATCCTCTAAAAATTTACTATTTGTAAATGTACATGAGATAGTTAAACAGCCTGTGAGTTTATTGAAAGAAATTAGATGTTTTACACAATGAACAGGCAAAAAAGAATAGGTTTTGTTCCTCCTTGTTCGAAACTTTAATACCACGAAATTGATACTTACTATTCTGGATTCATCTTTGTACTATTTATATATTATTTTCAAAATTATAAATTAACAGAATATATCGAAAATAATGAAGTTCTTTGTTTGGTAGAGCACTAAACAGCGAAAAATAATTACTATACGTAGAATAATGGCCGCCGAACGAAACACCCACACTGACGTAAGTCAGAAATTCACGACAGGAGTGCCACTTGGCAAAAACTAGCTGCGTTCAAGACTTTTTATTTTTTTAAATAATGCTACGTTTATGACCACAATTTTAAAATACCGTTACTGTTATTCGTTACTTTTTAAATTGCAATTTTTTTTAAAAGACTAACGTTATGAAACGATATGGAAAAGAAAGAGTTCCACTTCTAAAGCAGGCAAAAAAGGGGGTGTCAATCTATAAAAATGCTAAAACAAACTTCCTCTGAATGATACATCGAGTCGGTACTCCCACACGCTTGTAATGAACACGATAATAAATAGCAATAGGTACATTTTAGGTTTAGATGCCCATACATGACCATGACCCTGGCTGAATTTTGGAGTTAAAAGAGAGAATGAACGAATCCATATTTGATATACATTATATTGAAACCTTTCTTGAAAGAATAAACATACGGAACGGATGGTCTGCTTAAGGCTTGGTATTTCTTCTAAAGTAGGTATTTCGCGCTGTCAAAATCTGCGCGCGCAATTCTTCGCCGAAAACAGCGCGTCAAAGAGCTCCCGCCACAATTTCCAGCTACACAGTATAGAAATACGCAGTTGGTTAAGTTAGATCGACTTCCTTCCCTTCAAGCGTCACACGAACAATTCGAAAGGGTAATTTGACGGTGTTTGGGGAATTCTAGGAATAAATACAGAGTCTCCTCATTGAGATTGAGACATTTCAATTTGAGATTTCACTTGACATTGAACAAAATCTGAAATGGATTTTTCAAACACTTGTAAAAATAAAAAGTAATTAAATCAAAGGCACTAAGTAGTATTGATATCAACTTCGAAGAAAATGACCGCCAAAATTACTTTCTACCCGTTCCACACGTCTTTCATGAATTATATTAAGGTATTGTTAAACTAAATTTCAAGTAGATTGAACCAAGGAATCACTTTGTCCCATACAAACTTTGCCCCNACGCTAACGAGATATGGAAATAAGAGTTCCGTGGTTCCGTTCTATAGTTCCAAAATACTGGACTGGACTGTCCTGTCGATGACATTGACAGTGGGGCGCCACCGTCAATACCGGATCGCTGGTTCAGATTTTTGCCATGTTTGAAACCACATAGTTGAACGATGGTAGCGCCCCCCTGTCATTGAGTTTGGCGGGACAGTTCAGCGTGCGTGGGTCATCTATATGTACTTCAAGCAGGCAAAAAAGGGGGTGTTAATCTATAAAAATGCTAAAATTAACTTCCTCTGAATGATTCATCGAGTCGGTACTGCCCACACGATTAGAATGAACACGATAAATAGCAATAGGTGTATTTTAGGTTTAGATGCCCATACATCATACATACATGACGATGACCCTGGCTAAATTTTGGAGTTAAAAGAGAGAATAAACGAATCCATATTTGACATATTGAAACCTCTCGACTTTTATATAGCTTTTCTTGAAAGAATAAACATACGAAACGGATGGTCTGCTTAACGCAGCGGTGTTTTACACTACGTTTTTAAACGTATAAATATATCCATCCGTGCTCGGACTTCTCTCCATGTAAGGGCCTTTAGATAATACGCTTGCATTGGTTGAAAAGATAATATACTCACTACAAAATCAATAAAAAAGCTGATCAGTGGACGTCATTTGGCTGAAACGAAAAAAAAGCATAAATATGTTAAACATCTGCTTTATTTACAAGATAGGTACATACTAGAAAATAGGTGAATAGTTACAAGTAACAAAACAATAGGTGAGATTTCATCTAAGACACCCAGATATTTTATAAAATCATTTCTTGTAGTATGCTAAGTGGAATCTTCCATATGAACAAACTCCTATCTTTATATCCCGCGATAATCTGTAACAAAAATGAACAAATTAATGCCAATTATAGAGAGAATAATAAATTAGGGCTATATTTCACCGGGACACCATGGCGGCGCAACCAGTCGCCGGCTACCGACAAAATGTATACAGCTCTATAGAGTTACTCACCTGGTGTCCGCTTGGTTGCGCAAAGCTCTATACATTTTGTTGGTAGCCGGCGACTGGTTGCGCCGCCATGGTGTCCCGGTGAAATATAGCCCTTAGGGACAAGAAGGCGCAAGAATACATTTATTTAAAATTGTTATTGTTATTAGTGGACCATCTGGAAATATTTGGTGAAGTTCTATGTTCAGCAGAGGACGTCCTTTGGCTAAAACGGTTATCGTCGTGTATCGCCGCGGCTCGCCGTCGCGGTAGATGTACACGCGGTCGTCGCAGTGGCCCCCCGTGGCCCCCGGGCTCACCTTGCTGCCCAGCACGGCCAGCGACAGCAGCATGAGGCCGGGCCCGCGCAGCTGGGCCAGCGGGCGCGGCTCGCCGTCGCGGTAGATGTAGACGCAGCCGTCGTAGCAGCCGGCGAACAGCAGGCCGCCGGTGACGCGGATGCACACGGTGCCCTTGCCGCCCTCGTGGATGCCCGTGTGCGAGCCGCTCTGTGGACAAAATCCCAACTAATATTATAAATGCGAAAGTAACTCTGTCTGTCTGTCTGTCTGTTACGCTTTCCCGCTTAAACCTCGCAACCGATTTTGATGAAATTTGGCATAGAGATAGTTTGAGTCCCGGGAAAGAACATAGGATAGTTTTTATCCCGGTTTTTGAAACAGGGACGCGCGCGATAAAGTTTTTCTGTGACAGACAAAATTCCACGCGGGCGAAGCCGCGGGTGGAAAGCTAGTATACAATAATAGCTGTGCCCGCGACTTCGTACGCGTGAAAACCCGTTTTTGCAACATTTTTCATTGTTGCTCTGCGTCTATTTCTCGTAGCGTGATGGTATATAGCCTATAACCTTCCTCGATAAATGGGCTTTCTAACACCGAAAGAATTTTTCAAATCGGACCTGTAGTTCCTGAGATTAGCGCGTTCAAGTAAACAAACAAACTCTTCAGCTTTATAATATTAGTATAGATTAAATTAATAGGGATCCACAGATTTGTCCGCTAGATGACGCTAGCGCGGCGGATCGATAGTGACACTTCTGAAACTTTGCTATCTATGTTGAAATAGTTTGAAGTAAGTATTGACTGACGAAAAGACTATTCAAACTGGAGGCTTGTGTAGTGGGAAGTGGGAAATATTGTCTACTCCTTTTGTAGAATAGGACCATCCTCACTCTTCCCGTGAATGTCGTAAAAGAATTATAACATCAGGCCCGCCCAACACATTTGAACAGTAATGAGCTCAAGAGCAGAGTGAGCAGGATGTCGAGTTTGCCGCGCGAGCATATTCGCCCAGTGTGGACGCACCATTAGGGAAGTGTTAGCCAAATCCTCAATTTGTGTCTAGTAAATTAGAGATATTCCTACAGTAGAGACTAAATGACCTGAAAATTATAATGATGATATCGATACTCAATTACTCACAGTATAATCAAAAACGTGTATCTGATGGCTGCTGGTCCCGCAATACACCTTGCCTTCTTCATACAGCAGCGTGTACACGGTCATCTTAGGCCCCTCCAGCGTCCTCAACAATAGGCCGGTTTGGGCGTCCTTGACAGTGACGTCCTCAAAGCGAGCGGCCACGAGCAGAACCTTGCGCGGTCCCTCCTTCATTGCCCGGAGAGCCAGGATCGACTGGTCGGAGAATTTGACGGTGCTCACTGGGATTAACATGTTGTTCTGAAATTATAGATTGATACTTTTTATTGGATATCAACAGAAGTGACAAATAAAAGAAATGCATTGAAATGATATAATTTAGGCACTCTTATTGCTTATTATTTAATTTGTCACACATAGTAGCAGGGGTGGCCAACTTAATTAGATAAGATCTACTGATTACTAGCGAAACCTTGGGTGATCTACCACTTACATACTTCTTGAAATCTTAAATGAACCAGCATAGTTTAGTACACAAAAATGTAGTATTTTTTGCCTTGCTACGATTAACTGGACTAATAGTCACGATCGACCGGTTGGCCATCCCTGGAATAGAGGCTGTTTACATTGTCCGCTTAGGCTTGTATTAAAAAAGAGAGATGATCTGTGAGAAGGTGTGATGGTCAACAAGCAAACTTGTGATAGGTAGTTAAGAATGTGAAAAATTGGATGACCATGTGTGAAGATCTATTTCATGACCTCTAACTAAATTATTTCAGAAAAATGAAAATAAATAAACATATAGCTATGATTGTTATTTCCTTACCTTACATTCAAACTGCAAGACAAACCCTGTCCTTGTCCCCACAAATATGGTGTCCCAAGCTCGGTCCATGGTCTGTATAGGACTGAGCACATTGCACTCTGGCCCTTTCTCCATACCAGTCTGAAACAATACATTTTATACTGGTACCAACTATTATAGTTTCAGTCAAAGGACAAAGGTTCCCAAGGGTTTCGACAACGACAGATCCTGTGCTGTCAGCGACTTTCACCAGATCGCTTGAGAGGCTTGCTTAGGCCTTCTTACCATGGTCGCTATTCCAGTACTTTTGTGCTCCAACGGCGATCTACGAGTTATTTGCTCCGCCAACTGCCACTTAATTTGGCAATTCTGTGGGCCATCTTTATGTATTTTACAATAAAGATTAGTGTATAGTATATTTTTGTTGTTAAGTGGCACCTAATAATACATAATAATAAAAATAGATAGGATCATCATCATCATTTCAGCCACAGGATGTCCACCGTTGGTAGCGGCCTGCATCCAGTGCCTTCCTGCTACCTTCGTCGTCCTTGTGGGTGGACGTCCATTTACATAGGATGTCATGGATATGTCGCAGGCAAATTGTATGATTCCGCATTTTACAAACGGCGTCGTCAGTTCATAAACGCTCGCTGCTCTATGAAATGCCGNAATCACGGAGCCATCTACTTAGTAAATTCAAATCTAACTAGAGTGATTCAAAGTCAGCACCTGACAATATTATTCTTAAAGCGGGCAATCACTACCAGTGGGCAATAACTCTCTGGTTTACCCTATATATTTTTACAAAAATAATATACAACAATGTTTACTGCCGCATTTAACATCAATATCATTAAGTACACAACACAAGTAGGTATTGTTAGGATTATCCTGACAGTGTAAACTAAATAAAAAGATAAAGGTTCAGTAGAAATAAGTAAGTAGGTCTACGAAAATACTGCAAATTAGAAATTAGGTTGACACGTGTTACATAAAAATAGTGCAACTTTGCAACGAAAGAAAAGCTAGGTAAGCTAGCTTCGCTCTCAAAGTCCCATTTCTGTATTTTCTGTGATTTTCGAGGTAGTGGGCCATTTCTGTGACTATCGCTATAAAAACCGATGATAGAATCAGCTTAATTAAGTAGTAGATGAAACCCCCGAAAAATACTTAAAAATGAATCCTGACGAAATAATCACGAAATAAAATTCGTCATAAATGTTTGTGTCCACAAGCACTGAACTGCTATTATCGCAAAACGTTCGACCCAAAAAAGCACCAAAATTCTGTTATTATTCTACAGCGCACTAACATAGTGGTAGTTGACTTAGCACATATTTTAGTAAGCGTCCAACACTACACCCCCGCTAAGATGGACGTAGGATCCTCGACTCCTGCTTTCACTTTCCTTAGGAACAGCACTGCTTCGCGCCCGTCTATCAGTCTGTGGTCGTAGGTTAGTGCCAGGTACATCATTGGCCTGATTTCCACCTGGAACAAAACATACAGTCAGTTTATGCAAGTTTCGTAAGGTTGCCAAAGAGTCAAAGAGTATCCCAGTAACTAATAATAAAGAGTGAACTATGTCGTTACTCGTTGTCATCAAGGTGATTCACGCTAGGTTCTTTCACGTTCGGTTCACCATTTATAAACACCGCGATACTTAGTCATTCTCAGTCCTACCGCTTAGGCACTAACCAGTTGGTGCCACTATCTTAGCAAAATCACCAGTGGCGCGTAAGGTCCTGTCACTTCTTGTGGGTAAGAGTAATTGGTTGGCACATTTGATGAGCAATACTGAATACACTGCTTCATATTAATAAAGGCGTTTTTCCCTTTTATTTTTATCTATGGGTATCACCACAGATCCACAGAATAATAATAAGTACTACGTACAGAAGTTTTACTTCGCGAAGGTATTTAAAAAAATGTATGCTCAATGTCATTAACAATATGGTGTAATTTAGCCTGTCTCAAGAGTCAAGCACCATTTTGTTGACAAACGTCAGTGATCGGCACTGCGCCGAAGCTATAGGGCTGACTTCGGCAAAATGATGTGACGTGAGGTGCCAAACTGCGGAAAATGGCGGAGGAAATAAGTACATGATTTAGCATGAATTATCATGTATAATATTAACTACTTATTTACCTCTCAGTGGCTTGAGGCAACTAAAAAAAGTACATTCTGTGTTTTTATTATTATTTAGGCAGCTAAATACTGCACAGTATTTAGTAGGTACACCATTTTCTTTATTTTCTTCCATCATACACAAGAATACGCGTGCGTGAGTCAANGCATCTCTCTCACCAGATGCTGTGCATCGTCTCTGCTCAATAATACAAGTTTTATTGTTTTGTAAAACTTGTACTATTAATTCCCAGGGAACGTGCCATGGCTCGGCATCGGGATGTGGTGCAATGGCTGCCCGCCCAAGAGCTGTGAAGATGACGAAGCCATCATCCACGGGTACTGTTGCGGCTGCGCCTACGCATCAGGTACGTGGGTGGTGAGAAATATGTAACAGGCCTCCCCTACCCTTCTGGTAGGCCAAAGGCACAAAATACTATTTTCCTGTGATGCGGATATCGGCACGCGCATTCATACGTTTTTACGTTCCGCATGCGTGTAGCCCGCACTACCGTCTCGGTATATTGTATTATTGTATTCATAATGATAGTATGAATGTTTACAGATCGTCTACCAGTGATGTGTCCCCAGTTCCTGCAGTGCCCCCTGAACCTTCACGGGCTCTGCCACGACTACGAGTACATGATGAGGTGCTGCTGTTAATAACCAAGGACAAACTAGCTGCTAGTTTTATAATGTAGAATAGTAGCCAGTTTTACAGTATTATGATTACTAGTATTGCTAGTATTTTCAATGGGTATTGAAATCTATGAAATCAAAAATCATAACAGATAGACAAAATAGTGACATTGGCCATAACAATTATCCCGTAAAAAATCTACCCAGTGCCTAACGAAGAATGTAANACCATAATTAGAAAACGAATAGAGGTAACTTTGGGAATTTATTCTATCGAGTCAACTTCATCAAATCGTGTTTCCATCCGTTAATAGCCCTAGAAAATATCCTCAACTATGCCCAAAAAAAATCTTAGCCTTTTATTTTACTGTTTAGTACCTCAAAAATGAAAAATGAAAACCTCATTTTCGCCATTTTCTCTGTTACCCGGCCTTAATGCAGCGGTGTTTTACACTACGTTTTTAAACTACAAATATAACCATCCGTGCTCGGATTACTGTCCATGTAAGGACCTTTAGACAATACGCTGGCATTGGTTGACAAGATAATAAATACTCACTGTATAAAATCAATAAAAAAAGCATAAATATGTTAAACATCTGCTTTATTTACAAGATAGGTACATACTAGAAAATAGGTGAATAGTTACAGTAACAAAACAATAGGTGAGATTTCATCTAAGACACCCAGATAGTTTATAAAATCATTTCTTGTAGTATGCTAAGTGGAATCTTCCATATGAACAAACTCCTATCTTTATATCCCGCGATAATCTGTAACAAAAATGAACAAATTAATGACAATTATAGAGAGAATAATAAATTAGGGACAAGAAGGCGTAGGAATACATTTAAATAAAATGTAATTGTTATTAGTAGACAATCTGAAATTCTTTGGTGAAGTTCTATGTTCAGTAGTGGACGTCCTTTGGCTAAAACAGCGGTTCCCTAACTTATTTTGTCTACTGCCCACTTTGAGAATAAATTCTTTTTAGCGCCCCCATTTGTAGTCGAGTGCTCAGTCGGTGTCTAAGAGTCCTCCTAGTAAATGACGTCTCCCAAGCCTCTAAAAAACGTCCCCATTTTTTTTCTGGGTCCTTACCGCCCCCCTTTAAGCCTGCAGCGCCCACAAGGGGGCGTTATCGCCCACTTTGGGAAAGAATGGGCTAAAACGATGATCGCCGTAGATGTACACGCAGCCGTCGTAGTGGCCCCCATGGCCCCCGTCTCACCTTGCTGCCTAGCACGGCCAGCGACAGCAGCATGAGGCCGGGCCCGCGCAGCTGGGCCAGCGGGCGCGGCTCGCCGTCGCGGTAGATGTACACGCGGCCGCCGCAGTGGCCCCCATGGCCCCCCGTGGCCCCCGGGCTCACCTTGCTGCCCAGCACGGCCAGCGACAGCAGCATGAGGCCGGGCCCGCGCAGCTGGGCCAGCGGGCGCGGCTGGCCGTCGCGGTAGATGTAGACGCGGCCGCCGCAGTGGCCCCCCATGGCCCCCGGGCTCACCTTGCTGCCCAGCACGGCCAGCGACAGCAGCATGAGGCCGGGCCCGCGCAGCTGGGCCAGCGGGCGCGGCTCGCCGTCGCGGTAGATGTAGACGCAGCCGTCGTAGTGGCCCCCCATGGCCCCCGTGGCCCCAGTCTCACCTTGCTGCCCAGCACGGCCAGCGACAGCAGCATGAGGCCGGGCCCGCGCAGCTGGGCCAGCGGGCGCGGCTCGCCGTCGCGGTAGATGTAGACGCAGCCGTCGTAGTGGCCCCCCGTGGCCCCCGTGGCCCCAGTCTCACCTTGCTGCCCAGCACGGCCAGCGACAGCAGCATGAGGCCGGGCCCGCGCAGCTGGGCCAGCGGGCGCGGCTCGCCGTCGCGGTAGATGTAGACGCAGCCGTCGTAGTGGCCCCCCGTGGCCCCCGTGGCCCCAGTCTCACCTTGCTGCCCAGCACGGCCAGCGACAGCAGCATGAGGCCGGGCCCGCGCAGCTGGGCCAGCGGGCGCGGCTCGCCGTCGCGGTAGATGTAGACGCAGCCGTCGTAGTGGCCCCCCGTGGCCCCCGTGGCCCCAGTCTCACCTTGCTGCCCAGCACGGCCAGCGACAGCAGCATGAGGCCGGGCCCGCGCAGCTGGGCCAGCGGGCGCGGCTCGCCGTCGCGGTAGATGTAGACGCAGCCGTCGTAGTGGCCCCCCGTGGCCCCCGTCTCACCTTGCTGCCCAGCACGGCCAGCGACAGCAGCATGAGGCCGGGCCCGCGCAGCTGGGCCAGCGGGCGCGGCTCGCCGTCGCGGTAGATGTAGACGCAGCCGTCGTAGCAGCCGGCGAACAGCAGGCCGCCGGTGACGCGGATGCACACGGTGCCCTTGCCGCCCTCGTGGATGCCCGTGTGCGAGCCGCTCTGGGGACAAAACAATCAATAATTAATGGGGATCCACAGATTTATCCGCTAGATGACGCTAGCGCGGCGGATCGAATAGTGAAACTTCTGAAACTAGGGTAAACTGCCAGTCATTGGACACTTAAAGGAGTTATTGGACAGTTATTTATTAAATTAAAAATAGCATTTCTATTTCAACAACTAAGAGCTAATTTGCATTTGAAGGAATCATTTCATTGATTTTATGAAATTTCAAAGGTTTCCAATGATTGGCAGCGCCCAATAACTATCGGTTTACCCTATCTGTGTTGAAAGAGTTTGAAGTAAGTATTTACTGACGAAAAGACTATTCAAACTGGAGGCTTGTGTAATGGAAAGTGGGAAATATTGTCCACTCCTTTTGTAGAATAGAATCATCCCACTCTTCCCGTGAATGTCGTAAGAGATGATTAAGAGTAGGCGCACACCGTTGATTTTTAGTTGGCCGATAGTTGGGCCCGATTTTATTTTGTATGAAGAATCGGCCAAATCGAATCGGCGTAGTGTGCGCACTCCCATACATGCCCATACTGATCAACTGCCCGACTAAACTATCGGCCGACGAAAAATCAACGGTGTGCGCCTACTCTAAGGGAGAAATATGCGAACATCAGGCCTGCCCAACACATTTGAACAGTTAGGGAAGTGTTAGCCAAATCCTTAATTTGTGTCTAGTAATAGAGTATTAAATTAGAGGGGACCATACTCCTGCAGTAGACTAAATGACCCGAAAATTATAATGATGATATTGATACTCACAGTATAATCAAAAACGTGTATCTGATGGCTGCTGGTCCCGCAATACACCTTGCCTTCTTCATACAGCAGCGTGTACACGGTCATCTTGGGCCCCTCCAGCGTCCTCAACAATAGACCGGTCTGCGCGTCCTTTACTGTCACGTCCTCAAAGCGAGCGGCCACGAGCAGAACCTTGCGCGGTCCCTCCTTCATTGCCCGAAGAGCCAGGATCGACTGGTCGGAGAATTTGACGGTGCTCACTGGGATTAACATGTTGTTCTGAAATTATAGATTGATACTTTTTATTGGATATCAACAGAAGTGACAAATAAAAGAAATGCATTGAAATGATATAATTTAGGCACTCTTATTGCTTATTATTTAATTTGTCACACAGTATAGAGCAGGGGTGGCCAACTTAATTAGAAATAATATCTACTGATTACTAACGAAACCTTGGGCGATCTACCACTTACATACTTCTTGAAATCTTAAATGAAACAGCATAGTTTAGTACACAAAAATGTAGTATTTTTTGCCTTGCTACGATTAACTGGACTAATAGTCGCGATCGACCGGTTGGCCACCCCTGGTATAGAGGCTGTTTACATTGTCCGCTTAGGTTTGTATTAAAAAAGAGAGATGATCTGTAAGGTGTGATGGTCAGCAAGCAAACTTGTGATAGTTAAGAATGTGAAAAAATCGATGACCATGTGTGAAAATCTATTGGCATTAGAAAAACAATCAACTTCATGACCTAACTAATCTATTGCACAAAAAAAAACACATAGCTATGATTGTTATTTTCTTACCTTACATTCAAACTGCAAGACAAACCCTGTCCTTGTCCCCACAAATATGGTGTCCCAAGCTCGGTCCATGGTCTGTATAGGACTGAGCACATTGCACTCTGGCCCTTTCTCCATACCAGTCTGAAACAATACATTTTTATACTGGTACCGACTATTAGTTTCAGTCAAAGGACAAAGGCTTCCCCAAGGGTTTCGACAACAGAGCCTGTGCTGTCAGCGACTTTCACCAGATATCTTTGGTCGCGAGTGTGAAGCCTGCCTACGATCTTGCCGTGGTCGCCACTCGAGAACTTTTCTGCCCCAACGGCAATCTACGAAATATTTGACCCGCCCACTGCCACTTTATTTGACTGTGGGCCATGTTGATGTATTTTACAATAAAGATTAGTGTATAGTCTATTTTTGTTGTAAAGTGGCACCTAATACAAATACATAGAAACATCATCATCATTTCAGCCACAGGACGTCCACCGCTAAACATAGGCCTCACCAACGACTTCCACATCGCACGGTTGGTAGCGGCCTGCATCCAGCGCCTTCCTGCTATCTTTATCAGGTCGTCGGTCCACATTGTGGGTGGACGTCCATTTACATAGGATGCCATAATATTTCTACTTTGAAAAGAAGAATTGAGTAAAAACGTTACTGAAACATTTGAAAAACATTATCATACCTCCAAATCATAATACCGTATCCTGGAGTCGAGCGAGCCGGTATACACCGTGGTTTCGTACTTCCCCCTGACGATGGTCAGACACGTCACCGCCAGGTTGGACCCCTTGAGGGTAGACAGCAGCTGGCCGTCGTTGCTATAGTAATACACGTTGCCGTCCAGGCACGCTGCGATGAAGTTGTTGTCTATCGGCTGTGGAGGGTAAATTGTTGAATTAGTAAGGCAACATTGCCAATGTTTGTGAGCATTTTTGGATTAAGATAAGGAAATGTTCGAAAATGTTTAGACACCCCTACAGACTTTTAGTCGGTCGAAAGTTGGGCCTAATTACTAATTTGTATGAAGAATCTTGAAGTCAAGAGAAATCACATTTCTATTCATGTGCGGAAAATTAAAAGAAACTTTGATTTGACTATTTGGTTTACATTGTTATCTAATTGGATTCCAATAGGTACATAACTAAGCTATGAAAACCAAGAAGTATTTAATTATTGTAATGTAAAATCTTTGAACTTACTTCTATAGCGAGTACTGCGTCACGGCCAGTGACGGTAATCGAGTCTCGCCGGAGGTTTTCGTCCGTAGAGTAGTCATACATCCTGCATACACTCTCCAACGGACTGTCGTACACCGTAGGCACTGTTGCCTGGCTGTTGTCGAGTATTATATCCTCATTTATTGCAATCCCCATTCTATCGGCTTCTTTATCTTCACCGGATTTGACCTCGCATATATCGCCAATGATTATGTCTTCCGAAACATCCATCATATCTATCTGTAAGTCGTTTTCTACAACAGTATCTTCGACTACTACAGTTTCTACCGCGGAAGCCGCGGTATCTTCCTCATTTTTGTGAACATCAGATTTTCTGTCAACTTCAACCTGTACCTCAGGCACCACTTCTGCTTTCTCAGATTCTTTCTCTTCATTTACAGACTCTTCGATAACAGTACTAAGCTCTTGATCATAATCAGTTTTGTTTTGGTACATGCTAAAGTCATTACGTTCTAAAAGAACATAACACTCTTTTATACCATAGAATAATAACAAATTGGTTAACACCTGTTTTGACATTGGTTTGTTCCTCTTAGGTTCTTTTTTCTTTGCTGTCTGCTTCGCTCCTTTCTTTTTCGACTTCACTGGTGTCTTTTCATAGTCGTCGAGGGATATTATGTCTTCTATAGGTCTATCGTCAGTTATAATCTGTTCTAAGAGGGAAATGTTAGGAGTTTTCGCTTTGCGGTTACTCCTCTTGACAGTGGGACTGGCAGAGCTTTGCCTACTTTCAGCCAGCACTTTGTTTCGCCTTGTCCGTTTTTCTGATTGTTTACTGGTATGTTCAACACTCTCCATTGCAATTTGCTCTAATTCTTCAACTGGTATACTGGTGAAGTCCTCAACAATAGCATCCTCCTCTGAGGTGCTTGTGCTATCTACATTACTCACTGGTTCTTCAGTTATAGGTACATTCAATACTGTCATTCCCAAAGTAGCTTGCATGGTGTTAGGACATGAAGCATTTGATTCTAATGAACTGTACAGTTTAAACTTTTCTTGCAACAAAACCTGTATTTCCAAATCAATCTCCTTCATCCTTTCAAAGGCATCTGTGGTTTTGCTTGGTTTATCTATTTTGACATGATCAGTCTGCACAGCTTTTGCATGGGTCTTTTTCTTTTCAGTTTGGCAAAACCGTGAAGTAGAACTCTTGCTTTCATTGGTTTGAGTTTCTTTTACTTGGAACTTCTTATGCCCAGACTGCACTCTCTCACTTGCATGTATCCCCACAGTTTGTGGGGTAAACTTTCGGCTGGAGTAATTTTTGGGAGTTTGCTTGGATTTACTTAAGTCTATGCTCTTGAGTGGAGTATTTGGGGACAAAGCAGTGTTTCTATGTGCTTGATGCACAGACGCTGGCTTTCGCGGCTGTTCAACGAACATGTCTATACTTTGAAGTTTCTTTTTAGACTCTGATTTATTTGCATGTGTACTATGGGCACTGTCTTTTGGGCTCACAATGGAATGACTAGAGGAAATTGAACGCTGCCTCTTCTTTTCTTCGCCATCTTTTTTCCTTTGTGGTTCTTTCCGTCTGACATATTTGTCAGAATAACTCTTATCCTCAGGATCAACTTTTTTGGGGACTTCTTTGCTACTGTCATTCTTTGAAATATTAAAATTAGAAACTACCTTAGCTGTTTCTGAATATTGCTTTTTGTCTTTACTTACACTATCATAAACATTAAATAAACTACTCTTATTTACTGTTTGTTGGTCAGTGTCAGATTGAGATGTTTCGCTTTTCTTGCGTTTTTCTTTTCGGTGAGAAGGTCTTTGATCTATTGATCTTTTGCGCGAACTAGTTGATACTGATGATTTAGATGATACTTCAGTATTTTCTGATTTTTCGGTCTCTTTTTTACTTTCTTTTGTAGATTCTGCATTACCCCCGTGTTTAAGCGGCGGTATTTTCGGTTCACTACTTACAAAAGTTTCTCGAGTAGGTGACGGTTCTCTTTTAACTGTCACAGAGCTCTTTCTAGATTTATGTGCAGCTTCTGAACCATTCTTGTTAACAAATGTCAGTTTTATAGGCGACTTCGCCATGTCAAGCAACTGATTGTCGATTTCTTGTTTTATGCTAACAGTAGGTTTGGTTGGAGTTTGGGATTTGTCAGTCAAATAATTGTTGTCAGTTGAGTTGTTTTTAGGAGTGTTGCGAGATGGTGTTTGCTGTGGGCTTGATAATTCATAAGTGTCCATGAAAGTATGATCAACTGCAACATGGTACTGTTTGTCAAGTTCCGCAAATGGATCGTCTTCTTCTGAAAATTGTTCTGCATTTGTATCAAAGAGAGGCACTTGTGGTTCCGTGTCTTTACTTTTGTCCTCACTGTGCCTACTATCCCTACTTCGCCTTGACGGCCTCCTTTCTTCAGCAAATGTAGGCAAATTCTCCTTAGAATCTCTAACATCCTGTTGAATATGATCTTTTGAGTGTGTTCTTGACAGTGATCTCTCTTCTGAACTATAACTTCTTTCAAGACTGTTATCAGCACTTTTTTTCTTGGACCTTCTTTCAAACAAAAGTTGTGGTTTTTCTTCTGGCTCTGGAGAAAATTGCAATGGTGTCTGGACATTACTGTTTGATGTATTAAAATCTTCAAAAGCAGCTGGAGAGTTGACTTGATCGTAATAGGTATTTTCATAATCTTGGTAGTGATAGCTTTGATTAGGGTTGTAGTCATAATTTTGATTGGGGTTATAGTCTTCATAAATTTGCTGCTCTTGCACTGGTGGGAAATGTGGCTGCTGATGTTCATCTGCCACTTGGAACGGTTGATCGTACTCATTTAGTTGCAATACTTTACTAAGCTCTTCCATAACAAGTGGCTTAATATCCTCCAACAAGACAGTATCTTGAGGGTCCAAAATATATTGCATTTGCTTCATAAAGGTATCCTCGTAAATTGTGTTCTTATCGTTACGGATGAAATCTTCACTGGTGCTCAATGATTTCTCTGCAACAGATCTCATATGCTTATTCAAGCTATTTTGTGATTCGGTTATCAAACTGCTTATGGCATATTCAAACTTAGTTGACGAGCTGGGGTTGTCCATCAATTTATGAATTCTGCCTTTGTCCATTTTAAATAGTTCATGAACAATTTTAGTTTTCATTTTGTCACAGTTAGAGTCAACATTCCTGTGTCTTTGCCTCTGCATTCTTTTTTTGACAGGCTGTGGCTCTGATGGATTTTGGTAGCTTTGTGAGGTAGAGGGTAATCGTAGATCTTCATCCTTGTGGTCAATAACTTGGTCCCTAGAAGATTGTGATTCACTACGATTTTGTAACCGCCTTCTCACAATATCAACAGTATCGTCTATGGATCGGCTGAAGCTGTTTGAGGTGTCAATTGATGAACTGGAATTTCCACCATAATGATCTGAAGAAGGTGGTCTATGCCCATCATATTCAAGAATTGGTAGTTTATTACTGTCCAATTTGTCATATTGTTTATTTGATTTATGATACTGATTCTGACTCCTGTTATCGATGAAGTATCTACGGATGTCAGGAGTGTGTGACCAGGCTGGTCGTCCTCTAAAAGATTCAAGGTTTGAGGGCTGGCTTGCGGGTCGGTCGTCAATATCACCCATGCTATTGATGTGTGGATCTCGTTGAGTATTCTCATAATAGTTTTGATCTTGGTATGGGTTAACATGATCACTTGATTGCCTTAAACGATCAACTAAAGGAAACACTGATCTTTGGTTTGGATGATGGGTCCTATCTTGTAATCTGTACTGATTGCCGGGCCGATTATCCCTTCTTCTGTCATGATGGTCAGAGGAACGCAAGTCTGGCGCATTAAGTTGATTGGCGAAAGGAGGCGGCCCTCTGGGAAGTCGTGGCCCCAGTGGCGGGAACCTGTAATTGCAAGTCAGCAAAATAAGTAACCTCATGTTAAGACCATACTTCAATGAAATCGACTATTCTAATATACCTAGTAACAATAACTAAGATTATCAAGTTACATAGTATCAAATTCTACCAATGGATGATGCTATTACTTTGCTATTATGTTTATGTAGTCAATTGGACATTAGGCGCGCAAAATGATGCAATGCAATTATTGCTTATTCTACTTAGCGAAGTGATCTCAAAGTTTTTACCTGGGTGTATCCATAAGGCCATAGCCTCTAGAGGGTCTGAAACCGCTCCCCCTGGGTCTAAAATGCCTTGGATTTTCATTTCGCCAACCTCCGATGCCAGAATGACCTCGTCTCATAATGTTGTTTAATTCATAATAATCCACAGGTACAGGGAAAAGCCAACATGTATTTAATTATAACAATATTATTAGCTACTAACACTCACTAATTACGGAAGAAATCACGAAATTAACATCTAAAATTAACAAAAATATCAGCCACCATTATGTTTGACACTTCAGGTGACATGCGTACACAAGAAAAAACTACCGGATTTACCATCAAAGTCATAATTCTCGATTGCAATTGGTTACAATGGTTCTGTAACAATTCTAATTGGTCAGTTGGTTGTTAGTGTCCAAAGACACCGCTGGCGCTATACTTTATTCAGGTTGGCTTTGGCAAAGGAGACGGCTAACCGTTTCACAAAAATAATGACCATGACCATGATATGAATAGTCGAATTTGTTATCTAAATAATATCATTTTTGTTAAATAAATGCTATTGCGATGATAAAATGCATTTTCAAATTATTGTGGTATAATTGGATAAAGGTTGGTTTGTTCTTATAATAATGGTGTGAAAGCAACCTGTTGCGGCTTGCACTCCACTAACTTGATAACTTCTCATAAAATCACTGTTTTCTATACTTTTTTATGTTTTCTCTAATTATAAATTTAAATTGTAATTTATTTTGGGATATTACCTGTGCCACCTTGGTTTATACAAGTTTTAGTTCTATTCAGTGAGGGTAGAATTAGAATTTCTTGTTAAATCTAATTCTGCCATTTTACCCCCCCTTTAGATGCTGATGTAAGAATATTTTACTCTGACGAGCTGATGCACTTCTCAGGGTGGTTTCTTCTTCATGGTGGTCAGAGTAGGCTGGTGCCAACATAATGTTTAGGTACAATACAAGGCTAGCCTTTCTAACGAAACATGTTTTTTTAGGTATGTACCTAACCGTGCCGTAACCGTAACATAAAATAAAAGTAAGTAACTAAGTACCTACCTATTTAGCCAAATAAAACATTTTGTTCAACAATATCAATATTTTATTTATTCAAAGCAGTCATATATTTTTACAAAAATAATATACCTACAACAATGTTTATTGCCGCATTTAACATCATTACACAACAAAAGTAGGTATTGTTAGGATTATCCTGACAGTGTAAACTAAATAAAAAGATAAAGGTTCAGTAGAAATAAGTAAGTAGGTCTACGAAAATACTGCAAATTAGAAATTAGTTTGACACGTATTACATAAAAATAGAGCAACTTTGCTACGAAAGAAAAGCTAGGTAAGCTAGCTTCGCTCTCTGAGTCCCATTTCTGTATTTTCTGTGATTTTCGAGGTACTTAGTGGGCCATTTCTGTGTCTATCGCTATAAAAACCGATAATAGAATCAGCTTAATTAAGTAGTAGATTAAACCCCCGAAAAATACTTAAAAATGAATCCTGACGAAATAATCACGAAATAAAATTCGTCATAATGTTTGTGTCCACAAGCACTGAACTGCTATTATCGCAAAACGTTCGACCCAAAAAAGCACCAAAATTCTGTTATTATACTACAGCGCACTAAACATAGTGGTAGTTGACTTAGCACATATTTTAGCAAGCGTCCAACACTACACGCCCGCTAAGATGGACGTAGGATCCTCGACTCCGGCTTTCACTTTCCTTAGGAACAGCACTGCTTCGCGCCCGTCTATCAGTCTGTGGTCGTAGGTGAGTGCCAGGTACATCATGGGCCTGATTTCCACCTGGAACAAAACATACAGTGAGTTTATGCAAGTTTCGTAAGGTTGCCGAAGAGTCATAGAGTATCCCACTAACTAATCATAAAGGGTGAACTATGTCGTTACTCGTTGTCATCAAGGTGATTCACGCTAGGTTCTTTCACGTTCGGTTCACCAATTACAATCACCGCGATAGTCCTTCTTTAAAAGTCCTACCACTTACGAGTATAAGTCCTACCGCTTAGGCACTAACCAGTTGGTGCCACTGTCTTAGCAAAATAACCAGTGGCGTGTAAGGTCCTGTCACTTCTTGTGGCTTAAGGTTCAGTCAAACCAACGCGATCAATGCATTTAAAAGGCTGATCGCCAACGCTGCTCGCCGGCTGATCGCCATTTTGCTGCACGCCGGCTGATCGCGTGTGATTGCGTTGGTTTGGCTGAACCTTAAGACAATTGGTTGGCAAAGGATGATGGGCAAAAATGTATGGAAAGTGGTACCCGCTCCAATAGCCATAACCAATATATATTTTAAAAGGCCTTTAGATGTAGGAAAATGTCTGCTATGGGGCCAGTTCTAATTCACGTTTTGAAAGCAGTAATTCCACTAAGTATTATAATGAAAGTATAACACAATCATCCATGTATACGAGTATGTATTATGACTACAATCTATTAATATAACTAAAAGAAGCATTGAAAAGGAAAGGATTATATCTACGATGAACTACCCAAGCTATTAGCCCTTTATTCGCTTTCATCATCATCATCTTGATCATTTTAGCCATAGGACGTCCATTTGAACATAGTCCTCCCCCAATGATTTCCACAATGGCCGGTTGGTGGCGGCCTGCATCCAGCGCCTTCCCGCTACCTTTATGAGGTCGTCGGTCCATCTTGTGGGTGGACTTATTGGGTCTTGTGGGTTAATTCGCTTTAGCAACCCATAATAAAACCCTTAAGAAGTAATAAAACTTTAACCCCTTTATTAATAAAAGTTACACCCTAGTTGAACTCTGGCTTAATTGTCATTTGGTGTCAATCCAAGGTTCTTCCTAGGTGTAACTTTTTATTAATAAGGGGGTAGTACTTCTTTAAATAAAAATATTTATTTCACAATTATCCCCATCAATAATTATAGAGTTAAGGAAGGATGCTGGAGCAGTAAACCCTTCCCGCCTCGCATAACCTAAGTACCATACGATGGACACGTATGATACTTCTTCTTCTTCTTCCTCGGTCCCAGGATCGTGACCACAGATAGTGTTCCTCCACAGGCTGCGGTCATAAGCTGTGTGGACCGCACGATGCAAACTCCCGCCCACCGTCTTCCTCACCGCGTCCCACCATATTATTATCGTCAGTGCCCTGCCCCGAGCGCGTCCCCCTTCATACTGTATGATACTTAGGTTACACAAAAAGTATCTTTATCTTCGAACGCAACCAGATCTGAGGCTGGTGGCCATAGTAAATGTTGTTCGTCTTGGTAAGACCTTTCAAATGACACTACAAACATAACTATTGAAGCCGGGTACCATTCTGCAAAAAAGTATGTATATCTTCGTACACAACCAGATCTGAGGCTGGTGGTCATAGTAAAAGTTGTTCATCTTGGTAAGACCTTTCAAACGATACTAGACACATATCTATTGGAGCCGGGTACCAATTTGCCCATTGTCCTTTGGTTAGCAAAACTGCTTCATATTAATAAAAGTCCTTTTCCTCTTAATTTTTATTTATGCATCACTCTTACCTTCCCTGCTATCGCCACAGGCCGCTGGAAGATGGCGTGCATGCCCAGGATCGCAGACTGGGGCAGGTTGATGATGGGCATCGACAGCAGCGAGCCGAACACTCCTCCGTTGCTGATCGTGAATGTGCCGCCTTGCATGTCTCCAGGAGTCAACTTGCCTGCGAAGGAAATGCTAGTGATCTTATCTTCAGTTTCAGATAAAGTTTTTCAAGTAAGTCAGTTAGGGACACTGCGACAGACCGCAAAAGCTCCCGAACAATTTTATCAGGCTAAAGATTCAGAGCAATCGTCCCTTTCTGTCCCGATTGTGGTATACCTAATATACCTATGCCAGTGCTTTACGGAACATAAAAGTATAAGTACCCTACAATTTATAGGAAATAGGATGCCTCGAATTCGTATCTTTAGTTGCGAGATGACTAGAATGGGCTAGCGATAGAAGATTACTGAGTTTTGATGAGTCAATGCATACTGAAGTTACATAAGTAAGTATAAGAGACGTTGGTTCTAATATAAGGAGATATAAGGTCCTAAGACTGTGTGAATATAAACTTTCGGAGTCCCAGTGCGTTACCAAGTCTCTTCGATAGTTCATGTCTAAGTTACCGTCTCTCGCTTTAGCAGCCAGCGCGTTCAGAGCGAGCTCAATCCGAGGGTAGTCCATGGACTCCACGTTGCGCAGTATGGGCACCACCAGGCCCCGAGGTGTTGCCACCGCCACTGATATGTCCACGTAGTCCCTGTATACCGTAAAATAGAATGAAATATAAAAGCTGCATGTTTCTTTCATTAAATAAATAAATAAAATGGAGCTCTAAACTAATTAGGTACTTATCAAACCTATAGCTAAGACGTAAGGAAAAGAAGATGGCACGTCTTAAAGGTAGTAGTTAGGGAGGCGAGGTAGCTATTTGGCGTAATTCAACGGCGCCGTCGAGACCTATCAAAATCGAAAGATAAAATAATTTCGAAAAGAAAAGCTCGTATGGCAAAAACCATTTTAGCGGTGGGTTTGGCGTGTACGGTTTTTCAAAAATGTTAAAAAAAACAGTTATAATACTTGGGCATTCTCGAGCGCGTCATATATTCATACTACGTATGCCCCGAGTGCCTCTGATAACAACGGTATACTAATCTGCCGGTTTACGTGGTGGGGGTAGGCATATAAAGTAGTCAAAAATGAAAAATAAATTTACTCGAGTGCGTCAGATTTTTGGAAGGGGTGTTAAGTAGGCCCCAAGGAAGCTCCCTTTAAAAAAACTGACGATTTCGGCGTGACGAGTTACGATGAATTTTTGAAAATGCAAAAAAAAAGTTTTTTTGAAATACTCGAGCGCGTCAGATTTTCATAGGGGAGGTTTATCTCGGTATCCTGAAAGCATATTTTTTTAATCTGACAAAAATGTTGGTGGGTTTTCTTAATCTGACCGAAAAAGGTTTTTTGGTTTCTTTTTTTTCCTTTCTTTATCCTTGATAAAATGGGGAATTTAAGAATGTCAATAAAGCGAGAGATACAGCCAACATAAATGTTTATAAACTTTTTTTTTTGTAAAATGTATCGTTCGCGACTTATATGCCGTAACGCGTTCTTAGGAAGACGAAATGGCTTCTCCACACTTCCGGTCATGCGGAAACCGGTAGTGGAGATTTGCGGGATAATGTGTTTTTGTTATTGTGCTTAAAGGTAGCTACGTACAATACAGTAAAATGTATGACGTTTGGTTCGTGAAAGTGTGAACACTAGAACATTTAATGGAGCGGCTCGTGATTCTGTTAAATGAGTAAATGCTCACTTACCTTATTAGACACACTGCATGTTCCTATTCCTAATAAATTTTGCGCTAAATATACCTGTAAGTAATTATAAAATGTTAAAAACCTGTAAATGATGTCGTCGCCGATAATGACGCCGTTGACGACGGGCTGGTCCATCAGCGCGTTGGCCGACGCCTTCAGGAACGGCGACATGAAGGACAGCTTGACCCCGTACTTCTTGGTGAACGCTTCGAGGTTCGCTTTGCGGAACGCCATCAGTTTGCTGAGAAAAATACAAACGTTTAAAAAAATATCATCATTATTTCAGCCACAGGACGTTCATTGATGAACAATTGAACATAAACCTCCCCCAATGATTTCCAGAAGCCAGGTTGGTATCGGCCTGCATCCAGCGCATTATTGCTACTGTCCACCTTGTGGACATGAACGTGAGGATGGCGCGACAAGACAGTGAACATTCAGGGACGTGATTCATCAAAGCGGAGACGAGGAGATGCGACAATCGCCATAACGGGCAGGTCATTCCTACGAAAGCGAAGCGAAGCGAAGCGTGTAATAACAATTTCTATTGGTAGATCATTTTAACTAGGTTCCGCGTTTTTGTGGAAAACGGCCCTCACCCTTGCCGATGTCAATCAGGGAACCCTATACCACCTTCACGTCGCGTCTCAACTTAGAGCCAGAAAAGGCTTCAATGTTTTCCTTGAGAAAGAAACTAGACAAGTTTCCAACTGAGTAGCTAAATCTTACCTCATGTCGCACTCGTTGAAAGTCGTCAGCATAGCAGTAGTACTCTGCGCTTCCTTCAGCCTCTCGGCGATGCGTCTGCGCATCTTGTTCATGGGCACTGGGTGCTCCGTGCGCGTCCCCGATATTGTCTTCGTGGGGTCACCTATCCTTAGAGCTGCCGCCTGCGAGGTAAAGGTTAAGAAATCTTCAACAAACGGATCATGTATAGGTGCCAACCTGCTAACAGTTGATGATCAGCGACGGTAGGAAAAAGATCTAAACTAATATGCATACCGCACTGATGTACGCTGACTGATGATTAGGTGAGGCCTATTTAGAGTAGTTGATTGATTGTACTTTTTTTATTATTACAAGCTTTACATTGACTTCACTTGTTAGTATGTGTGGGACAAATCTTGCAACTGAAATTAAGACCAGTTTTCCTCAGCCGATTGAGCTGAAATTTGGTATACTTATGTAAGTACGATGACAATGCAATGTTATGGTACCATTGAGCTGGTCTGATGATGGAGTCAGGAGGTGGCCATAGGAACTCCTAAACAAAACGGCGGAAACTCATCGAGTTTGGGATTCCGAGCACTTTGGTGCTAAATGATGACCGCCCAGATTGAGATACAGCTAAGAAGTGTAAAATAAAATAATAATAATTTTTTTTTTAAAAACAAGCTTTATTCTGAAATGCTACTAAAACAAAAAAAATAATTGTATGCAATGTTCAAATAATTTCGAAAGCTTGTATCGCGCATGGAATTTATTCTTCTTTTTTCTGTTTGCGCTAAAAGCTTTCGAAATTATTTGAACATTGCATACAATTATTTTTTCGTTTTAGTAGCATATTTCAGAATAAAGCTTGTGTTTAAAAAAAAAAATTTAATTATTATTTTTGTGTTGAGTTGAGGCTATTCTGGTTCTAAAAAGTCCCAATATCACTGCGACCGGCATCGATCTATTGTGTTCGCCACTGTTTTCCTTACAGTTCTCCTCTTAGTCCTGCATCCATTAGGTAGTGCTGATTGTACTTCATTAGCGTAGTTTTTGCCATGGCAGGAGGCTGCCTACTTAGTTTACTTTACATAAGAGTCCAGTTCTGTTTCGTTTGTTGACGGTGAATATAGGTTAAGATGGTAGAGCTTTTTTAGTCGATGCAAACATGGTGGCAGAGGCAGCTGCAGTTGGTACACAGCCGTGCTTCCGCAGAAATATACGTGATAATTCTATTTGCTATTGTGTCTAGGGTTTATAAAAACTGACAGTTTTCGCTTGCGTTGGTTAGGAGATTATATTTACCGTAGGTCCAGCAGGGGCTTTCTTAGCAGCCGCAGGTTTAGCAGCGGGCTTGGCAGCAGGGGCGGCGGCGGGTCTGGCGGCCGGCGCTGCGGCAGGCTTGGCAGCAGCAGGGGCAGCAGCCGCCGGCGCGGGCGCTGCTGCCGCTGGGGCCGGAGCCGCCTTCGCTGGAGCTACTCCTGTTACGTCCACCTAAAAATGACGGGTACATCACATGTAAATGAAAGAAAGATAAGCAACGAAAAGCAGAGGTGATGAGCTTTCATGTTAGTAAAAAGGCAACCCCCTTTTGAGTTCGACTTGAATTAAGAATTTTAGGTATAAAGTAGAGATTATTCTTAGATTAATAAAACCTAGATAGATAGTCAGTGCACGAAAGGTGAGGCAGATTTTAGTAAGCCAGAATGGCTTACTCGTAAACGTCACATGAACTGTCAAAGGGAAAAATTGGTAAACACGTCCGACGACTTTTAATTAATTAAGACGGTTTGTGCTGTGAAAGGTTGTCTTAATACATCAGAAAAACTAAAGAAAATGACTAGTGTTACATTTCATAAGTAAGTACTACGATTCGACGCGTATTTTGCTTGAATTTGGCTTTCAAAAATTAAATACGGGAATGATACCAGTAACAAGAAAATTTATTTCCCAATTGTTTGCCGTACAAATACACTTCCTTTTTTTTATGAAATCGAGACTTTTCAGTCGATTTATCTTATTGTAATTAGGTAGGTCCTTTGAATTCAATAAATAAGTAAGTACATGATGCGTTTTGTTTTTGTTAGTTATAAAATCATTAAAAACGTATTAAAAATTTCCCTACTTTCGGGAAAATCGCTTTCACTGTCTACACTCCCCAACAAAATTGACACTAATGACATAAGATTTTTGCCTCACTCTTGACGAAGCGTTTGTATGAAGACTATCCATCTAGGTTTTATTAATCCAAGAGATTATTATTAAATGCAAGGTAAAGATATTCAAATGCTGGCTGTGATGCGCTTTATAAACTATCTACGCACGAGTATGCAGAGAATAGCTTGGTTACTGCGACATGATGGATAACGTAATATCTTGAAGGCATATACCGAGAACAGCGGCTGCTGCGACTTGACGGACTCCCCATCTTTGACCAGCATCTTGACGATGGTCCCGTTGCCGGGCGACATGACCGGTAGAGCCGTCTTGTCGGTTTCTATCTCCAGCACCACTTCGTCCATCGCGACTGCATCACCCTCTTTCTTTATCAATCTGTTGAAGAGGGTACATTGGGTTAGAAATGGACTCAATTTGCGAATTCTTTCTGTTGGACATTTAGGGCTTATTTTTAAGTTAGTTAAAAATAAGCCTAAAATGTCCGTTAAGTTAGTTTTGAAAATATTTTTTAATTAAATTATCATGAATTCATGACATGATGATGAAATTCATCATAATTCATGTCATAATTACGTTGTCGTTTTTAGATGTGATTTAGTAGTTAGAATATAATTAAGTATGAAAATTCTTAGTTTGGATAAGAAAAAAATAAAAGAATAAGATTTTAGCAAAAGTGCAATCATCAACATCATTTCAGCCACAGGACATCTAATTGCTGAACATATGCCTCCCTTTATTATAATTTTCAGATTGGCCGGTTGATCCTGCTTGGAAATTTGGTGGTGTCTTCTTCTTCTTGTCGTGTCGACAACAAACCTACACAGCGTGTCTTTATACCAGAAGACTAGGATAGGTATGTTTTCTTACGTACTTGATATCGCCAGAAGACACTGAATCCGGGAAAGTTGGAGCTTTGACTTCTTCCACGGCGTTCTGTGGCGGCGACGTTTTGATCATGCGCTTGAGCAGAAAGTTCTGGTGCGACGTGTTCCATTTGAATGATTTGTCACTTCTGTAACGTGAATAAGTTCATAAAGATTTATTGCAATTAAAACTGTTGTTAAGCCCGTGTAGACGAGCGACTTTTCCACAAAGGACACTACTTTTTGTCTGCGCAGGCCTTTTAGGTATGTTGTAGAAACTCAGTTCATCATCATCATCATCATTTTAGCCATAAGACGTTCACTGCTGAACATAGGCCTCCCCCAGTGATTTACATGTTGATCGATTGGTAGCGGCCTGCGTCCCACGCCTTCCTGCTACCTTTATGATGTCGTCGGTCCACCTTGTGGGTGGTACTCAGTTACTTACATTGTATTGTTGATTGGTGTTGTGTGTATGAGCCTTCTCTGTATGCTGACTACCTGCTGCGTCGCGTTTTTAGTCTGTGATACCTGAAAAACAAACATTTATTTAAATACTAGCTTTCCGCCCGCGGCTTCGCCCGCGTGGAATTTTGTCTGTCACAGAAAAACTTTATCGCGCGCGTCCCTGTTTCAAAAACCGGGATAAAAACTATCCTATGTTCTTTCCCGGGACTCAAACTATCTCTATGCCAAATTTCATCAAAATCGGTTGCGAGGTTTAAGCGGGAAAGCGTAACAGACAGACAGACAGACAGACAGACAGAGTTACTTTCGCATTTATAATATTAGTTGGGAAGTTGGGATTTAAGGGATAGTCACCATACTAAAAAAGAAGAAAGTATGATTTATTATAAAAAGGATTAGAAGGCTCTACATTGGAACTGCCCATAAGGCAATCTATACTAATATAAATGCGAAAGTAATTCTGTCTGTCTGTCTTACTTTCACGCCTAAACCACTATACTGATTTTGATGAAATTTGGCATAGAGATAGTTTCGAGTCCCGGGAAACGACATAGGATGTTTGTATCCCGGTTTTTGAAACAGAGACGCGCGCGATAAAGTTTTTCTATGACAGACAAAATTCCACGCGCCCGAAGCCGCGGGCGGAAAGCTAGTAAATAAATATAGTAATGGAATACTATTATGTAAAACTCTATTGAGGAACATTTTCCACCATCATGGAAATGTCACACTCCACTGACGCGCTTGAAATGCTTTCATTTGAAGGCTTTTTAAGTTTACTTAATGTTCATTAAATGATAACTTACAAGCCGTATTATCCTTCTCCTGAGCATGTTATGCTAGAATTCGTATGAATTTTGAATATTTCTCTAAATAATAACATTAATATATCAAAATCATAATCGAAAATCAATAGACAGATCGATGACACTCCTGAAGGTTGACTTCTTTTTCTAACTTGCTGTCAGGCTGTTTTTGTAAAAAAGTTTAATAAAAAAGGTATTTTATGGTGAGAGAACAATAACAACAATGCAATGAAATCAATTAATGAGGTCCGCTTTTTAGTTGGCGCCCCTGACAATTAAATTAGGACTACAATAAGATTAGTACAGTGGCGCCACCTGGTGAGTCTATGATATTTAAAACGAGCGATTCGCGCCGTTTTCAAGAGAACTTGTAATGTGCAAAAAATATATCAGAACAATCAAACCACAAAACTTTGTTCAAACGCTAGAAATTCATTTTTTTATTTGTTTTATTAAAATGTAGAAAAAATAAAAGTTGTATTTTGAAATATAACGTACTGTATAGTTATACTTCTACATAAGAGATGGCGCTACATGTTTCAAACCTGCCTATCCTCGCGATAATTTCAAACATTATTTCTACTATTCTCTAATAGATGGCACTACTCGTCCTGAAAAACTTTTTGGAGGTTTGAAACTATTTTTTTTTTCTTCTTTAAGTGGTAATTAAATTAATTTGAATAGTTATGTAACTTTTTGTAGACGGAGGATCTAGCTAGTGAAGATCGGGAAAACACGCAAAACTAACCGTTGGTGGAAATCATTGGTGGAGGCCACCATTGTCCAGCACAGTAGAAGTCTTTTGGCTGGAAATTATGTTAACGAGGTATACCTACTTTATTTTCAAATTTTTCGTTGGTTTTCTGTTAAGTTGTGAAACATTGGAACTTACTTTTTTTCATAGAAACCACAAAAGAAAAATATGTAAGTATTTACAATTTTAAAGTTGTTGCAATTCACAAAGGCGAGTTTGTTTTTCAAAAGTTTTGATAGACATTACACTTTAAAGATGACCCACGCTGAACTGTCCCACCAAACTCAATGACAGGGGGGCGCTACCACCGTTCAACTATATGGTTTCCAATGGCAAAAATCGGAACCAGCGATCCGGTATAGACGGTGGCGCCCCGCTGTCAATGTCATGGACAGGACAGTTCAGTATTTTGGAACTATATTACGTACACGTACACATACAAGTACCTAAAGCTTCATGAGTTGCAAGAACTATACTTACCAACTTAACTTCAGTAAATTAAAGAAAATTTTGGATATTTCTTAGACATATTATGAGAAGCAATCGTGTAACTTTAAATATCCAAACAGATACTTAGTACGTACAACTATACATATACAGGNTTTGGTATCAATTTAAAGATAAAAGTTTAATCTTTAAAATGGTGCTACTTTTTTTGTTACTAACAAATTCGTTAGTACACAAGTTCGCGTGGAAACAACTTCATGTAAGTGATTCCATAGTTTTGCTCGCGAGTGTAGGTGTGAGCTAGAAGATTACAGATCTTTGATAAGTCAATTTGTCGAGTTGATTAAGCAAGAGAGACAGTTCTACTTACGGAGTATGAGCTTTTTACTGTCTTGTTAATAATTAAGTTTATTCACATTTCGTAACTTCTGGAGTCCCAGTCTGCATAAGTATAGATAGTCGATCGTTTCATTCACGAAGACGCGCCACACCATTCTTCCGCTAATGTTTGAGTGTTATCGGTTCGGTACACGCTAAATCATCTATGAGTGCACAATCACACTACAATAATGACACTTGGATTGGTCGGATCAAACTCCCCGCACCCCGCCCTTCCCTCGAATTGGTGGGGCGCGTCTTTGTGTATGAAACGATCTACTATACCTACCGTATCACTGGAAGTATTACCCTAGGAACCGTATAGCCCAAGTCATGGTAAAGTTACCGTCTCTTGCTTTAGCAGCAAGCGCGTTCAGAGCGAGCTCAATCCGAGGGTAGTCCATGGACTCCACGTTGCGCAGTATGGGCACCACCAGGCCTCGAGGAGTTGCTACCGCCACTGATATGTCCACGTAGTCCCTGAAGACAGTAAAATCAAGAGTACTAATCTAGGTATTCTATCATACCTATGACGTAAGGAAAGGGCACAAAGGTAAATAATGTGATTATGATGCTAGTAGGTAGGTACAGTGGCGGATTAAGAGTATCCGAGGCCTTAAGCACAGAGCCTGTGTAGGCCCTCTATTGCTTAAATGGAATTGGAAGGAATGGAATGGAAGGTATAAAGTATAAAATGTAAGTTCATCAAAATAGAAAGTGTAGTAGGTAAAATGTAAAACTTAAAACATTATTTTCCTTGCCTTAATCAGAGCAAACTCCGAGATTACATCGTCGAAATTTATCCGACGAAGTATGTCTGCCTCAATACACATTAATGCTAAATAATTAAGCTTGTCTGGACGGATTTTTGTTCTTTGCGGGTTTTTTAACCTTTTTAGTTGTGAGAAGGATCGTTCAGCAAAGCAGTTAGTAATCATTAAGCTGTGAAAGATTCTAAACGCAACCACAATGATATTAGTCTTACACTAGCACACTTCTTTTGTTTCTCTTCTTTTTTCACATCGCATGTTTATTTTAATATATATATATATATACATTTATAAATATACATATACACATACAGGGTGTCCCGTAATGCAACGTCAAGCCGGAACTGGGTGTTGAGGCAAGTTATGCTGGTTATCAAAAAAAAAATCTATGTGTCATTTTGTCAAAATAATAGGCATTAAAAAAAAATCTACTCCCGGTGACGGTCTTTTTACTCGTGTTGCTACAAATCTTCACTTTTTCTAAATTTTTTTTTGTTATGTAACCCTGAATAGTGCTTCTGTTTGGAATTTATTGTACCCTTAAGACTCCACCTTTATCCGAAACTATCCGTAACTTTTGAATCTGTTTCGGTTACGGTTATGGATATTTTTTTATTTCGGATATCCGATAGTATCGGTTACGGTTACGGATATCCATAACATCCCTGCTTGGTAAGATGGCCCTCTCCGTTCCGCTCATACCTTTTAAAATGGCTTCTCCACCTTACTTAAGCCAGAAACTTGAATTTTGGGCACATTAGAATAATAATAATTAACCAAGGTAGATAAAGTTAAAAACGGGATTATTTCCAAAAAAACAAAAATTGTCGACAATCACAGCAAGAATTTACCAAGTGTTATACCATTTTGGAATCCTTACTAAATGCGCCAAATTATGACGTCACTTGCCATACTCGCGTAGTACAATTTTTTTTCAGTACAGTCAGTTTAAACTAGGCAAAATTTTTATTTTGAATTTTTTTTTGGGAATAATGTATTTTTTTCATCCAAGCTGGAGCAGCTGGTTTCGTAATTTTGAAAACAATTTAGAGAAGCATTATTCAGGGTTACTTAACAAAAAAAAATTTTGGAAAAAGTGAAGATTTGTGGCAACACGAGTAAAAAGACCGTCACCGGGAGTAGATTTTCTTTTTTTTTTTTTTAAATGCCTATTACTTTGACAAAATGCCACATAGATTGTTTTTTATATTTTTCTGATAACCAGCGTAACTTGCCTCAACACCCAGTTCCGGCTTGACGTTGCATTACGGGACACCCTGTATACACTATTATTATTATTTTAATACGGGTATTATTTTAATATGTAGTATCTTTAACCGCTTGAGTCCCAGACGGCATTAATTGATGTCATAACAATTGATTATCTATTGTGTCTAGATTCGCGGGCCTTGAAGGATTAATTTACAATAATTATGTTTATTCAACAAATGTTTGCACATTATTATTATTGTTATATATTTATATCTAAACGGCCTTGTTGATATGCAGTTTAGGTTAGTGTCCGTGACTTCCACTCGGCATGGGGCCCACTGAAAACCAGCGTCGTGGCCTTCCCCACCGTGGGCCACGGCATATGCTGAGTGGAATCCCATTGCGATGGGCATCGCTGTTGCGACAGGATAGCACTGTTCAGTTCACTTTTTATTTCCTTGTAATATTTATGTGCCATTTCTGTCTTTTTCTCTGTCATGTATAAGTGATGTTCATCGTAATAAATTTTTCTTTCTTTCTTTCTTTAAACGCCACTTGTATATTTGTGAAAACGCACTTTACTTTATCTACACTATAATATTATAAAGAGGAAAACTTTGTTTGGTTGTAATGAATAGGCTCAAAAACTACTGGACCGTTTTTAAATATTCTTTCACCATTTGAAAGCTACATTACTTACGAGTAACATAGGCTAAATCTCGATAAAATGTAGGTATGAAATGAAACGGAGAACTGGGGCCCCAAGCACGTGCTTGTAGTGCTTATACGTTAATCCGCCACTGGGTAGGTATAGCGCATTCAGAGAGGTTCCTATGGCAGGTGTGTTTTTGTTACGCCAAACAAGTTATTGTTTTTGTGTCAAAGTGTCCTCAGTCATGTCAGAGTCATGTACCTTCAACATACCTTCTCCCCCTAGAAAAGTGGCAAAACGTAACATTTGGAAGTTATAATAATAATCGAAATGCCTTCGCTCTGGCTTTCTTTGTGAGTAAGACTTCGCTCCGTGAAGATATTATTTAGAGGAGCTTGATAACTATGTGACAAGTTTCTAAAAAGTATGCGCTATACCTAGTACCTACCTACCTACCTGTACTTAGTTATGAAGTGTTTAAAAACCTGTAAATGATGTCTTCGCCGATAATGACGCCGTTGACGACGGGCTGGTCCATCAGCGCGTTGGCCGACGCCTTCAGGAACGGCGACATGAAGGACAGTTTCACTCCGTACTTCTTGGTGAACGCTTCGAGGTTCGCTTTGCGGAACGCCATCAGTTTGCTGAGAAAAATACAAACGTTAAAAAAAAAATATCATCAATATTTCAGCCACAGGACGTTCATTGATGAACAATTGAACATAGGGCTCCCCCAATGATTTCCAGATGCCCGGTTGGTATCGGCCTGCATCCAGCGCATTATTGCTACTGTCCACCTTGTGGACATGAACGTGAGGATGGCGCGACAAGACAGTGAACATTCAGGGACGTGATTCATCAAAGCGGAGACGAGGAGATGCGACAATCATAAAAAATTCATTTATTTTTGCAAATAGGCTTTAAAAAAGCGCTTTTAATCGTCATAACGGGCAGGTTATTCCTACGAAAGCGTAGCCCGCGCTGCTACTAAAGCTGAGCAAAGATGAGACGTGTAATAACAATTTCTATTGGTAGATCATTTTAACTAGGTTCCGCGTTTTTGTGGAAAACGGCCCTCACCCTTGCCGATGTCAATCAGGGAACCCTATACCACCTTCACGTCGCGTCTCAACTTAGAGCCAGAAAAGGCTTCAATGTTTTCCTTGAGAAAGAAACTAGACAAGTTTCCAACTGAGTAGCTAAATCTTACCTCATGTCGCACTCGTTGAAAGTCGTCAGCATAGCAGTAGTACTCTGCGCTTCCTTCAGCCTCTCGGCGATGCGTCTGCGCATCTTGTTCATGGGCACTGGGTGCTCCGTGCGCGTCCCCGATATTGTCTTCGTGGGGTCACCTATCCTTAGAGCTGCCGCCTGTGAGTAAGGTAAGATGTCAATTTCAGCATATGGATCAAGGGTAAGTACCAAATTACCAATAACAAAAGTTAGACAGCCAAAGATACGCCTTACTATCATATCATGGCGTATCTAGGGTTATTTTTCAAGTTAAGTATGTCACTTGCGAAAAGTATCATACCTTATGAGTTAGCTATCAACTATTATCTTTAAATAGGTAGCCCAAAATTCTGGGGAATCCAAAACTAAAAATTTGAGATAATATAGTGGCCGTACATGGCGCAATCTTCGAATCTTTGCCGTAGCAAAATGAGGTTGCAGAACTTGCAGATTGTCTTTTGCATTTAACGCTCCAATTCATTGTTTTACTATTGTGACTCATGTGCGGATATGGACAGTGAATGAGTTAAGATGGTTAAGTGTGGGTATCTTAGTGGATGCAGACTTGTTGGCAGAGGCAGCATCCGTGACTAGGGTTGCCAGGCGTCATGTTTGGCTTTTTAGGGTCTTGTCCGGCCAAATATTGCTTGTCCGACCTGTCCGGCCAAATATTGCTTGTCCGACCTGTCCGGCCAAATATTGCTTGTCCGGCCTGTCCGGCTTTTGTCAGGCTTTTTATTTGGTTGCCGCGCCCAGGCGAAAGTCCAGCCACAGAATCATATGAAGCGCACGCATCAGGATGTTGGTTAGCAACCGATGATGATAGTACTCACTCATGAGCTGACACTAATTGGACCCCCCCCCCGTCACATGTCCGGCTTTTAGGGTAAAATGTCCGGCCAAATGAAACACAAAGTCCGGCTTTTGTGATTTTGGACCTGGCAACCCTATCCGTGACCGTAGTCTTGCTAAGGCAGAAGCATAAGACCAGTAGTTGCTATTGTGGCTAGGGTTTATCAAAAGTGAAAGAGATTTTCGCTTGCGTTGGTTAGGAGAGTATTTACCGTAGGTCCAGCCGGGGCTTTCTTAGCGGCCGCAGGTTTAGCAGCGGGCTTGGCAGCAGGGGCGGCGGCGGGTCTGGCGGCCGGCGCTGCGGCAGGCTTGGCAGCCGCGGGGGCAGCAGCCGCCGGCGTGGGCGCTGCTGCCGCTGGGGCCGGAGCCGCCTTCGCTGGAGCTACTCCTGTTACGTCCACCTGAAAAAGGCAGGTACATCACATGTAAAGGAAAGAAAGATAAGCAACGAAAAGCAGAGGTGATGTTCATGTTAGAAAAAAGGCAATCCCCTTTCGAGTTCGACTTGAAGATTTTTGCATTTATTGACTCTGGTTGGAATTGTTAGTTAAAAGAATGAAGAATTTTAGGTGTAAAGTAAAGATTATTATTAAGTGCAAGGTAAAAAAGATATTCAGATGCTGGCTGTGTGTGCTTTATAGACTAAATATCTACGCATTAATAAGTATGCAGAGAATAGCTTGGTTACTGCGACATGATGGACACCTTAGCATTGACAGACATCTTAACGTTAATATCTGGAAGGCATATACCGAGAACAGCGGTTGCTGCGACTTGACAGACTCTCCATCTTTGACCAGCATTTTGACGATGGTCCCATTGCCGGGCGACATGACCGGTAGAGCCGTCCTGTCACTCTCTATCCCGAATAGTTACGCCACTGTTAAACGCAATATAAATCATCTACTTAGAAGATACGAGTATATGTATACCGAGAACAGCGGCTGTTGCGACTTGACGGACTCTCCATCTTTGACCAGCATTTTGACGATGGTCCCGTTGCCGGGCGACATCACAGGCAGAGCCGTCTTGTCGGTTTCTATCTCCAGCACCACTTCGTCCATCGCGACTGCATCACCCTCTTTCTTTATCAATCTGTTGAAGAGGGTACATTTGGTTAGAAATGGACTTTTAGCCTTTTGGATAAGACCAAAAATTTAGCAAAGGTGCAATCATCAACATCATTTCAGCCACAAGACATCTGCCTCCCTCTATGATTTTCAGATTCGCCAGTTGGTCCTGCATTCCTTGGAAATTTAGCGGTGTCCTTATACCAGAAGACTAGGATTATGTTTTCTGACATACTTGATATCGCCAGAAGACACTGAATCCGGGAAGTTTGGAGCCTTGACTTCTTCCACGGCGTTCTGTGGCGGCGACGTTTTGATCATGCGCTTGAGCAGAAAGTTCTGGTGCGACGTGTTCCATTTGAATGATTTGTCACTTCTGTAACGTGAATAAGTTCATAAAGATTTATTGCAATTAAAACTGTTGTTAAGCCCGTGTAGACGAGCGACTTTTCCACAAAGGACACTACTTTTGGTCTGCGCGGGCCTTTTAGGTATGTTGTAGATACTCAGTTCATCATCATTTTAGCCAAAGGACGTTCACTGCTGAACATAGGCCTCCCCCAGTGATTTACATGTTGATCGATTGGTAGCGGCCTGCGTCCCACGCCTTCCTGCTACCTTTATGATGTCGTCGGTCCACCTTGTGGGTGGACACCCACGCTGCGTTTTCCGGTACTCAGTTACTTACATTGTATTGTTGATTGGTGTTATGTGTATGAGCCGTCTCTGTATGCTGACTACCTGCTGCGTCGCGTTTTTAGTCTGTGATACCTGAAAAACAAACATTTATTTAAATATTTAAGGGATAGTCACAATACTAAAAAAGAAGAAAGTATGATTTATTAGAAAAAGGATAAGAAGGCTCTACATTGGAACTGCCCAAGTAATTCTGTCTGTCTTGCTTTCACGCCTAAACCACTATACTGATTTTGATGAAATTTGGCATAGAGATAGTTTCGAGTCCCGGGAAAGGACATAGGATGTTTGTATCCCGGTTTTTGAAACAGAGACGCGCGCGATAAAGTTTTTCTATGACAGACAAAATTCCACGCGGGCGAAGCTGCGGGCGGAAAGCTAGTAAATAAATATAGTAATGGAATACTATTATGTAAAACTCTATTGCGGAACATTTTCCACCATCATGGAAATGTCACACTCCACTGACGCGCTTGGAATGTTTTCATTTTATGGCTTTTTAAGTTTACATAAAGTTCATTAAATGATAACTTACAAGCCTTATTATCCTTCTCCTGAGCATGTTATGCTAGAATTCGTATGAATTTTGAATATTTCTCTAAATAATAACATTAATATAACAAAATCATAATCGAAAATCAATAGACAGATCGATGACACTCCTGAAGGTTGACTTCTTTTTCTAACTTGCTGTCAGGCTGTTTTTGTAAAAAAGTTTAATAAAAAAGGTATTTTATGGTGAGAGAACAATAACAACAATGCAATGAAATCAATAGTGTCAATAGGTCCGCTTTTTAGTTGGCGCCCCTGACAATTAAATTAGGACTAGAATAAGATTAGTACAGTGGCGCCACCTGGTGAGTCTATGATATTTAAAACGAGCGACTCGCGCCGTTTTCAAGAGAACTTGTGGAAAAAACATTTCAGAACAATCAAACCACAAATATCAGACGACTTTTTTCAAACGCTAGAAATGTATTTTTTTATTAGTATTATTAAAATGTAGAAAAATTAAAAGTTGCACTTTGAAATAATAACGAACTGTATAGTTAAGCTTCTACATAAGAGATGGCGCTACACGTTTCAAATCTGCCTATTCTCGCGTTTATTTCAAATATTATTTCAACTATTCTCTAATAGCACTACTCATCCTGAAAAACTTTCTGAAGGTTTGAAACTGTTTTTTTTTCTCTTCTTTAACACGTTGAGTGCGAAACCAGGTCTATAGACCTTGTGCACGTCTCGCTTACCGTGCGGCTAAGAAAGTTATAGTCTTCCTTGTCGTGCGAAAGGCATAACTTCAATTGGGTCCGGTGTAGGAAAGTGATGAATATATATCTATGATGTATTCTTAAAATAGAATCCAATGATGTACCTACCTTAATACCAGGTTTTTAGACCTGGTACCGCACGGAAGTAATAAAATGTCTTCACAATGCGAAACCAGGTCGAAGCACCTTGTACCCTGCGCACCTGGTACCGCACCCCACGCTAGCTTCGTGCAGCCAGTGTTGCCTCGCATTCGTAAGAAACGCACATGTCGACATGGCGTCAAGAGAAACAAACAAAATCAAAACTGCAAATTGATTATAATTTAATTTGCTACACGATTTATTGCTAATTTAAATAATGTTTTTCGTGACAAACATTTGAAGTTGTAACTTAATGTTATTAAATAATATGTTTTCTTTAAATAAAGCTTATTTAAGTATTTATGCACGTATATCTTATTTGTAAAATATTTAGACTAAATTATTAAAACATCTTTGTTTGTTACTTTTTTAAATTTTTATTATAACTTAATTTAAACTATCGATATTTGTATTTCACATCCCTAGAATACCCACCAGACTTCCCTAATTCAGTGCGGCACAGGGTGCATAAGCCTTGTATTTTGAATATAGCTATAATTTTTATACTAAACAAGTTATTCACGAACGGCTTCAGGTGTATGTCAATAAATGCATTATTATTAATATTCAAAGAAAAAAAACACAATATCTATTAACATGAAGCCAAAAATAAAATTAATATATCTTAAATATTACAAGGTCTTTAAGCCTTGTGCCGCCACAATGTAAGTTTTAATACCAGGTTTACTGACCTTGTACCGAAGGAATGGAAAGTATTAGAAAGTTACTGCCGCAGCAAAGGTGTTAAGTAGTAATTAAATTAATTTGAATAATTATGTAACTTTTTGTGGACAGAGGATCTAGCTAGTGAAGATCGGGAAAACACGCAAAACCAGCCGTTTGTAGAAATCCTTGGTGGAGGCCGCCATTGTCCAGCAGTAGAAGTCCTTTGGCTAGAAATGATGATAACGAGGTACCTACCTACTTAATTTTAATTTTTTTTATTGGTTTTCTGTTAAGTTAGTTTTTGTTTGTGGTTTCTAATAATTAGGAAAAAAGTAAGTTCCAACTTTTTTTCTAATAGAAACCACAAAAAAATGTAATTATTTAAAATGTTCAAAATACTTACCTCCTTATTATACCCTCAGTAGAGTAAAGAAAATTTTGCATATTTCTTAGACATAGGTACTATGAGAAGCAATCGTGTAACTTTAAATATCCAAACAGATACTTAGTACGTACCTATAACTAGTTAATATAGATAGTTATTGGTATTTGATAGTTTGATTACCCTCCTTTGAATGCCTAAACAAAAGTGAGGTTCGATCAATTTAATTACTGAGGAGACGGTGTGGGATGTACCGTCTCATAACTGGGGTACAGTCAGCCATATTTGTAGTATTTTAAAATTTTGAACGTCTTAATGAATTATTCATAATTTGTAAAATCATTGCATCTAGCCTAGACTCCAAGAATAAGTATTATCCTTTTTTTTACTCATGTGAGAATGAGATTTTTGAAAACCTATTGTGCCACTATTTAATTACGATTTTTCAAGTTAGTTTTAGTTTGAAATGCGACTTTTAAAGCTAGAAATCATAATTTGATATTTCTAACGGAAGGTTTGCTTTCTCATTCCTCTTTTGAAATAAAATGAACTCGCTTTAACTCGTCTATAAGCATTCAACTGCGCTAAATAACCCTTTACTGTTTGCGAGTGTACCATCCGAAAGAGCCCCTCTTTGTGATGAAAAAAACTTCAATATTGAATTCGAAAAAAGAACAAAATTATGAATTTAACTTTTTTTTCTTACGATTATGGTTTTCGTGAGCATTGCCAGTATCGAGTTAAAACATACACAAATCTAAGTTTTGACCTGCATCAGCTACTGGCCATATAGAAAGGTTAATTTTCAGAATGACAGAGATGTGAAAAAAAAATCCGTCTTTTTTTTTCTTATAACTTGTCAATTATTCTTATAATTTTAATTTTAATTTCTTATAATTTTGGCAGGGGTTGGTTTGGAATATTGGAATGCTGAAATAATTTATAATAGGCAAGTATTATAACTATTAATATAGCATATCAACTGCCTAAATGACCCTTTACTGATGCGAGTGTACAATCCGAAGGGGCTCTTTGAGACGATATTAGCGGTGACCACTCAAGATGTCGTTACATGTCGTTATGGCGGCCTCCTTGGCTGGTTAGGGCTGGCAAACGGGTTTGAGATGATAATAATAATGATAGAGGTTCTGTGAGTATTCAAAAATAAGATCTGAACAACAAGTTGGGATTAAGGAGTACGTTTCTACTGAAGATCATTTATCTGCGCCAGCAATAGCTCATTACGAAGTAGGAATTATTAAAAGCTACGAACTTTTACGAGGAGCTATGCAACACGTGAAAAAACACAGTGCATCAAAGTCAAATCTTATAGAATCTGAACGAAGTGTGTGACGATGTTCTTTAATTATACCTCAGTTTTGCTTTTGCATATTTTTATTGTGTGATAGAGACGCTGGACATGAATTTCTAAAAAAAGCATAGTATACAGAAATTCAAACACTTATAAGACTGATTGAATCTAGACTTGGCGTCTGAGTCGAGTTTTGATGTAGAATTTTTGAGCGTGGTTGAAATACGGGCTTCAGTAAGAGACAGTGGCGTTTAGTTTTATTTCAAAACCACTCATTTTCATAAATAATAATATTTTTTTCAGGTATGTACTACTCAGATGTATTTAGATAAAGCCCTGGGATAAAAATCTTGATAAGACGTAATTTTGCCGGCATTTACTGCCCGGAAAATGTTTGTAACTGCACATCCCTGGTATCAAACCTTAATACTTATACCCAGTACCTTAAAACTAACTAAGACTCACGTTCATAACCCTAAAATACCCATTGAGACAGTGAAGTGAAGCGAGCCATCCCTGCAGCGAGGGGGCGTCCCCACTAATTTGCTAAGATTCCTCGCGCCCGCATCTTTGATTACGGATCTATACGACCCGGTGGACGGATGCGCATTTAGCAGACCAATTTGTTATGAGTATTCACTTGGATGCGATCATGTAAATAGATCTTGCAGCTATGATTGGAAATCAAACGAAATGTCTACCTTGATAGACTCTATTAATACGACAGAGGTAATAGTTATTAGGTACCTTCTCGTAAATTGAAAATGGTTGCAAAACTTCAAAAGTTTTATGGCTAACAGCCACAGTCAGCTTTTCTATAAGTTTCTATAGCGAACAGTCAACAGTCGGCTTTTAGCGAACCAACATGCATTTCAAGCTTGGATTTTAAGGAACTTTTTAATTACAAGTAAGTCTTGATTGCAAGTGTTTCTAACAACCGATTTATTCTACCAAATATTGTTGACACTGAATACCGGGTACGTGGTGGCGAAGGTCGATTAAGCGAAGTACGTTTTAGCGAAAAACACTCATGGTGGTACGCTGGAGCGAAAGGCTACTGAAACGAAACACTCGCGGCCGAAAAATAACTTTGCTGACCTAGGAGTGCTTAGCTGCAAGAAAGATTAATTAATATGATGTTTAAATACAAAGACCCAATACCCTGAAAAATACCCTTTCTGCTTTCTTTGCTTTGTCTTGGACTCTACATTTCTGCTTACATCCAGTTTTCTCAATTTAGTTGTAGCTTAAAACGCGCTCTTTTATAATGCGAACAGCTAGGGACTGGAATTCGTTGCCTGCT